TAGTTGAAATTTGTGAGGTCAATCGCAACCATTTGTTAATGTGGCATTACGATACTTTCGGACATTTCAGGTCGGAATAATTACTGCTATCGTGATTTACCGATTTAATTTTTAGTGAATGCACATTGAAGTCGTCTGTTTATACTATATGGTAATAATTAGTTGAGGTAACGATGAAATGGTATAATTTAGTGCACATTACAACGTAAAATTACAAATTCGTATTCCTGCTACAACTCACTTTTCGGCCAAGAAAAGTCTCTGTTGTTTCATTTTTATGAATAAATTTGTAATTTTTTAATGCCATATTACGTAATGTGTTTATGGTGTTTTAATGAAAAATTCATGTGTAACTATGGTATCATTCAGCGAATATTTCTGTAGATTAAAGTGACGGTATTAATTTTGCATATTATTTATTCCTGTCGTTTCTATGAATTTCTATTCCATGTAAGTAACATTTTACAACATCATATTTGGTATTAATACACTTCTGGGAAAATGTGGCACATTAAAACATTTACTGTTGTAAAATAAGGCAAAATTAAATCCTAAACCAATCGAAGAGCGAAGGTTTATTATTGCTTGGACAAAAATAAAAATAAAATGGTAGTGTCTATGATTATATTTTCCTGAAGTAAGGCGCAAATAATCTTACATCTTTCCAAATTACCTACCGTTATTAAATCACATCCTTGGACACAACCGTTTACTTCAGCGATCAACCAATTTGGTGTCGTTGTGTCGTGTGTATGGTTTGCGCGTGTGCATTTATACCTCAGATGCGGGTGTCATAGATGCACTAACATTGAGACCTAGGCGTGAGGATAATCCAAGTTAAATATTAGTGCGAATGAGGGACAAGGTGAGGATCCGCGCGGCTGATGACATGCTGCAAAAAGGGGAACCCTGTGTGGGAGGTGGAGCGACCAGGTTAATTGGGTGTGAATAAATACGATTCACATCAAGTCTAAATAAAAAAATGTAGGAATGAATTTGCATTTTACATCGACATGAGGTCTATTTTAAATACCCGCAATAAGTCTCATATATCATTTGCCTGTGGCATCAAGTTTGCGTCACTAATAAATTCACCGTGTCTACGAAACCTTCAACAAATTTTAAACGTGTTTGGTTTAAATGCAATATAATACGAGAATACACTTCAAACAGTAAATGTTTTGTCCCAAACAAAGTAAGTAAAGACTCTAAACGAAAAAATTCGCAACAAATTTGTAGATAAAAAGGTTGAACTACTGTGAACATTTAAGTAAGTGAACCACCGATTCCACTACAGTTAAACAAAAAGGGAATGCGGATTTATCTAAGCAGATGTTGGACTCTATCCGCGATTCGGGTTCACAGGATAAACGGAAACGCTAGGACTTTTAAAAGAAGTGGTATGAATCGTTTGTTCGGTCATTTCAACCTCCGATACGTTCTCTCTCTATAGTAGCATGTCGACAGCCACGCGGATCCTCAACGACCATTTACTAGTGCGAACAATTATCGTACATTATCCTAACACCTGGACTTAGATGTTGACACAGCCATGATTCACACATCTGAGCTATAAATACACACACGCAAACGCTACAGGTGACACAACGACACCAACTTGGTTGAGGGCTGAAGTAAAGGGCTTTGTCCATGTCGCGGGTAACAGGGAAGCATAATAGGGCCAAAGTTAATTCAATGGACCCGGCGTGGATCAAGACCACAATCTGGGGCCCACAGCAATTTGTGACCATAGGTTTTTTGTGGAATTTTATTTCGCCATTGAGTTGACAAATACCTTTACCCTCGGTCTGTCTTTTGCTGTAACTTCATGGAATTCTACGATCACTGCCTTTGACCACTCTGCACTGCAAAACAAGGGGACCAATAATTAAACTTGTCAGATCATGATCGGATTCACAAGCGTGCCATCAAAGAAGGCATTCGCATACTTGCTATCCAAAGGAACACATTTTGCGACAGTAAACCCTACAATTTGTGAAATAGCAAGTTCAAGTAGAGCTCCAACGAGAACAACCTAATTAAACAAGTGGCCACATGGCAGCAGCATGTCAAATGTCAAATACTGTGTGCAGGAATAACTCCCTTGAGAAATCTATTTAACGACTTGGTTAACTGCGATTCACTCATTAATTTCATCAGAATGAGTAGTGCTGAAATCTCGTTGCTTCCTTAGAGAACACATCAATGATCTACAAATCAGAGTAACTTTAATTGTGCCTAAATACTAATGACTGACAGAAAGAACCCAGAATAGCTTGATAAGTTGCAAAAAATTGCGACTACAACTTGAAATAAACAACTACTGGCTTTAAATCAGGAGTTCTTTTGCAACGTGTGCAAAGCACAATCCACTGATATCAGATACGCTGTACTTCAACACAATCTGCCTCCGTCATTTGAATCACAGCCAATACCGGTTATCCGTACTTTTGATTCGGAGATTAAAATTCACTACGCACTTGAAATTTACGCTGCATACTTCAATGCTCTAACCTGATCTTCACAAGGTTATTTGTGAAGATGACTTTTCTCAGAGCACAACTGAGTCCTGAGGCCAAATCTAGTTCAACCCCCCCCCCTCTGGACAAGCGACATTTCGAGAGTACCTAATCATTATACTGATTATCACTCTAACTGGAATGCTCTTTGCACGATTCGGGATTGAAGTGAAAACGATTCAAACCGTCTTACTATCATTTTTTCAGCTCTGTTGATACACTTATGTTAGGCACAGATCACTTTTTAACCACTAATTAGAGCGGTGATGTTAGTTTATTTTCGTAATGCGAGGTGCCTTATTTGGATGTGTTCTAATTAATATTTTTTTGAAGTGAAAATGGAATTGTGATGGTGAGAAATCGGACTCCAGTCAGTCATCTCTTGGGTCGTGCTACATCTGGATGGTTAAAATACTAGAAATTTGCCGCAAAGGGGCAAGAAGAACGAATCCATTTGAAATCTTGATTCTGATATTTCAAATTATCTCCCGACCTCGTATTAACACGTCTATTCTACGAGTAAAACAACAGAATCCCATGTGAAACCTTTTTGCACCATAATAATTTCTAAAAGACATTTGCACGCACCTCAATTTCTCCATTTATATCAGAGAAGAACTGTCACTAAAAGAACGTTTCGATGAGTGCGAACAGAAGGACTGTAATTCTTTCAGACCCGTCGTAAATTTAAAAAAATCTATACCCTACACGGATAAGCTAAGATGCCACACTGACATTCACAAAAATCGACGACAATTTTTTCTGGAGCAAAAAGTGCACATTAGCTGTATTTGTCAAAACACGTGGCACATGGTGACGTAGGTATGAGAGGAACGTGTTGCGTGACTCTTGAATCCATAGCGAACAGCAAGGGAGCACATTTAGCAATCGTGAGCGAACGCCATGTATGTAAGCGTGAGCGAACACGATTCAATCGATTTTCGTTCAAGGATCGATGCTTAGTGTAGGTATATAAACGCACTTGTTATCCTGTACAAACACACACCACTACTGCATCAATAAATAAGTTGAGCTGCGTGATATCGGCATTTTTTTCACTCTTCAGTGTACATCTCCGGCCCCGGTGTGGTTCCCCATAACCGCACCAGGGGGCGCGACAAATCCATCAACAAACGAAATAGTTAAAGCGCTAGGTTTTTTCGGTGGAAATCGATTTGAGCACTAGTGGTGAAAAACGTGAGGACGCAGTGTACATGTCAAACATTAAATTTTTCGACTGCGCAAAGGTGAAAAATTTATGCATCGGGGGAACGGTTAAATAAATCTGTAGAACGATGTACCGGTACAGTGAAGCGAAGCCCCGAGCGCAATTAATCAAAATCCATCTTTAGCCTGTCAACGAATATCCGCGGACTAGCGCTCAAACGAGCCACTTATTAAGACAGAGCCTCTCCAAGATAGCACGTGACAAGTCAGGACCTAGTGCAGAGAGCTTCCGCTGTCGCAACCAGTGGTTCAGTGCCATGTGCGGTCTCAAAACCGAACAGACCAATAGGAAGGGAGCGGCTGGTATGAATGCAAAAGTTGGTGTGTATTAAGACGATGGGTATTGAAAATGGCCTTAAGGACGTAATTGTTCCCAACGTTCTGTTAATTTGATGCAAGGCCCGAGTTCCTCCGCAAATATGCTCACATTAAGTGCGTACGAGTCAGCGACTTATTTAAACTAGGACGTGCAAGAGAACTAGCACACTCAAAGGTGAATGGACCAATAAGAAGGAAGCTGTCGATACAGACGCAGGTTGGTGTATCTGAACACGGGAGATAATGAAAAAGGCAAATTTTTAACATCCTAACAAATAGAGTCTTATGGGTGTTGAACAGGAACACTACCAAATATTCAAAATATTGCAGACGACAATGGTTTCAGCCTGTAAACGCCCACGTAATTCCAATTTTCTGAAGCACACCCACTCCCTTGGTATTCACAACGTCACCCTCTTCGCTAGTTCCCACCCAAAATGCTTAGGAGCACACACGATCAAATCGGTCGATTAATGAATGAATTTGACGACTTCTAATCGAGCGTCATTTTAAAACGGAGCACTTTGCATTGTGCGACGATTCAATACACAGAGCACCTGTATGATGACAAAATATTAATAAAACCAGTAACAAGACATTAATGTCGCCTGCAACATCAAATACAATAACTTAGGTGTGCTGTCGAAAATTTAACGCAAAGACTTGATTACACAGGACATTGGTAAAATTCTGACTGCACTGAACGAAACACCACGGGTTCGAAGATATCAAGTCTCCTCACAAGACAACAGAATGTCACAGAAGCTTGTTTGCAGTTCTCTGCGATTCCTCATAACACCGAAAACGAATGGGAAAATCTCCTTCACATCGATGTAGAACCCCCCAACTTGATGAGTTCCAGCACATTCGAGCAATAATCTGATCTCTGGAGATAATGAACAGCACGATCACAGATGTAGACTGCAGCAAGATAAGGCCTAGGGCGTCAAACGACAGCGTGGCTCTAATACCACCCATTTGTACAAGCCTACTAACACTGCTCGCGGTACGCACGACTTCGCCTCTTCTAGTGGCACGTTAAAACGAGGACAACATTAATCACGAAACATTCTCGCTACTGATGTATTAGAACGCTTAAACTTGGGATTCGACTGTCACGAGTAGCCTTGGCTCCAAAGAACGCCAACAGAGGCAGGATAGGATCCAGCTACGCTTAGAATTTAATCGCAATTTTATACAAAAGGAGACAAGAATAGGAACTGATATAGAAAAAAATACCAAGTGCTTATACGGGAACCTTACACGCGCGCATGGATGGGAACGAGGCAACATGTGGGAGGGTAAAAAAGACTCGCCAGCAGACTGTGTAGTGAATGATGGTGTGTGCCAGGCAGAAGCGAACGATGCTAGTATCACGTAAAATACGTGAGTCCCAATCAAGTGCAAAGATTGGGTGTTAGAAGGAGAGCAGTAAGTTATGTGAGGGCGGAATCCAAATAAGGTGATTCAAACAAGTAAAGTGGTGAGTGGATGCTCTTGTTGGAAGAATGTTGCCTCCAACCAGGGAAGGCGATGCGTGCACGCGGTTCACGTACAAGTACATTTCGGTACTTGAAAACCGAACAATGTGGGTCCCTCTATTTCCACAGTTTCTTGATTGAAACGTTTTTATCCGAATCCTTTTGCATGACCTACAACGAGAAAAAAACAATGCAACCGACAAATAAAACAGAAGTTACGCGCCATTGGCTGCGCAAAGCAAGCCCGTGAAAATCCATGTAGGATATAAGGCGGATGTGAATTTCGAATCGGGTTGAGTATTTGGAGGAAACGACATTAGCTTAGTGCCTGCCCTGGTGTGAATAAGAGATCGTCAGTAAACAGTCGAAACAGGAAATGTTCAATTGGGCTTAATGTGAACAGAAAAGACGATTTCCAAAATTATAGCAAAAAGCCATGTAAGATTAATGCAAGGCAACTATTTTGAACTCGAGGTAATAGGCACGTGATAGAAACGATTGGGAAAATAGAACTTTATGTGCGAAAAAGGCGAAATTTAAACGAAAATTTACTTTTGCGACTGCCATTTCGAAGTCCTCCAAGGTGACATGTACACGGCGCTCTCGCAGAGCATACATGCCAGCCTCTGTGCATACACCCTTCACCTCGGCGCCACTAGCCCCTGGCATTAACTCGGCGATCTTTCTTAAATCGATGCCACGGGTCAAGTTCATTTTACGGGAGTGGATTCTTAGAATGTCCAAGCGAGCTTCTTCGTTGGGAGCGGGGAACTCAATCTTCCGGTCGATCCGTCCGGGTCTCAGAAGGGCGGAGTCGAGGATGTCTATGCGATTAGTGGCCATAACAACCTACAGAGATTATGGTCCGTAAAAAGGACAAACCTTGATATTTTGTTTTGGTTCGAAGCCGTCCAGTTGGTTGAGCAGTTCAAGCATAGTTCGCTGCACCTCACTGTCACCGCCTGAGCCACTTTCAAGACGTGTCGAGCCAATTGAATCAACTTCATCCATAAATATAATAGATGGGGCGTGTTCTCTGGCCATCACGAACAACTCGCGAACCATTCTTGCACCCTCTCCAATAAACTTCTGGACAAGTTCAGATCCGCTTACACGAATAAACGTGCATTCGGTGTGATGGGCAACGGCGCGAGCAAGTAGGGTTTTGCCAGTTCCAGGAGGGCCATACAACAAGACCCCCTTTGGTTGGGCAATCCCAAGGGCTTCAAAAAGTTCCGGGTGCTTGACTGGGAGTTCAATAACTTCCTTAATTTCCTTTATTTGCTTGTCTAATCCACCAATCATTTCGTAAGTAGAATCTGGCACCTTTTCAACCATCATAAGGGAGACCAAAGGGTCAACTTTGCTAGGGAGGATTTTGTGAAGAGTGTAACTGTCGTTCCTAAGAGCTACACGACAGTTGGGTGTAACCGATGCAATATCAATGTTCTTGTCAATGTCAACAACGAATTTGCCTTCAGGCTGGACCTTGACCAGGACCTTCTTCTTGTCCATGGGTTTGATAATCTCCCCAACGTAAGAACCCTGTTCCTGGAGTAACTGAAGTTCCTCGCGAAGGAGACGCACTAAATAAGAATAGTGTAACCGACAGAAAGACAATACCCTTCGCATTAAGTTCATTCCTCTGAGCACCTAATCTTCGTAGGTCTTGAGTTTTCTCGTTGACAATAAACTGAAGCTCGTCGATTTTGGTGCAGTAGTAGTCCCGAATCCCATCATTAGCATCACCCACTAGTTCTTTGACTTCATTTTCCAATGGCTTACGCAGTCTTATGGAAGGATCTGACGTCAAAAGCCGCGGTGAAGTCACCGGCATATGTTCGACATCCTAAAATTATTTCACAAAGTAAGTGAACGCAGGCTTAAAAACCTAATTCATCATTAAAACGAAACACGTGACAATACGATAGTAGTAATGAAAATGCTTGCTAAAAACCACAAACGCAACCAAGGCAATTGGCAATGAACATTATCTATATTATTTTAAAAAAAATATGCAATAATACAATCGCATGATTGCAACGATACAGCTACACACAAAGACATTTTAAATTCGCGTAGAATGATAAATCTATTATTAACGAGAAGATGAAACGAGACAATGACATTCACGGGAGCTGTCAGATAAAAAACAGTCAAACTGATTAACGAAGTAAGTAGGCGTAGTTGGGCAATGAAGTAAAAAAACAAACATTTTCTATTTATTTTCCTAAAGGGATGGTTCACTTGGGAAGACCTTAGAAAATACAGCCGGACAAACTCACCATCGCAGCCATGACTACAGCAGATTAACCAAAATGACGCAATGTTTTGATGTATATTATAACAACGCTATGAAAATGTTGAATCTGATTTGTAGACTAAAATCAAAATCATGTGTAAACGTCACAATTGTGAACGAAATTTAATTTTATTTGGCTGACGTCATACTTTGATGTGAAAAAAGCATGTATTTTAATGGTACAATAGGATACTTGATATCGCAATGGAACAATCACCTTAATGTGCAACGTGCAGATATTTTACAATGCAACACTTTGGTACAAGTCCCTTGTTCTTTAATTTAAAGTAAATGAGCAAATTTATTAATTTCCTTGGCCGAATCGTCTTGCCTTTCTAAATTTAAATGTAAAAATCAAAGTGAAATACAATCTCATTACAGGCAGCTTTGTGAATATCTGTAGTCTACGTCAGCGAACTTATAAGATGTTACTATTCTTCAAAACTATAATTACGCGGATAAGATTTGATGTCCCTTAAAAATCGGGTAGAGAATCAAAGTCTTGAATGCACACTTATCACATTCATTTGAGTGAATTTAAAAATATTTTCCTCAAACTCAAAGACTCTAGAACTCGGACCGAATATTTCCACATAAATACATTTTATTGTTAGTAAGGAATTTTGGTGCATGAAGTAGTATAACAAGTCTAATTAATATGAATTCTATTTCCAAGCAAATCAAGCTTGCTCATTTTGACTGATCTCTCATGCACGGTCGCATTTGCTACTGCACGTCACTAGTAGGAGAATGGAAGGCTCCTAAAATTGAATTGTTTATGCCCACAAGCTTGCCAGTTTGGGCAATGGATATTGGGAACCTGAAACTGAAGGTGTCAGTCGAGGAATAGCATAAAAGGAATTGGCTTGATTAACATTGCTGTTTTGAGTAGGAATATTTTTTCCTTTTGCCACAACCAAACAAACCGAATGTGCAAATGCACAATACCTCCGAGCATGAAGTTTTACTATCATGGAGAAAGTCCAGGTTTTTCGTACAAAAACCCTACCAAAATTTGTGTGACCTTTTTGAAAGACACCATCGAAATGAGTAAGGAAGTTTGTGGACATGAACACGACAAATATTGAGCAATATAGCTTTCATGGAGCTAGTTTCACAAAAAAGCAAAAGCGTTATTTTGAATAATCCACAAAACACACGTCAACGGGTTTCCTAACGGTGAGTTGGTCAAACCTAATACAGATCGAAACTTCGGTAAAAGGTGCGATTTGAAACATCTTTTGAAGTAAGTAACAGACAAGTTTTATTGTAGGTGGCAAGAGGCGATTAGTAGACACCGACATATTCTGGCAAGAGAAACTGATCGTTAGGTCCTGAACCACAGATAACATAGTTTAATCGTCCGTCTCTGTGATGACCTATTCTGTGGATAAATTAGTATTTCCAGCGTACACAATTTGCAGATAAATTTGCAGCTAATTAATCAATCTTTCTACAAGCGATGTATGCCTTTTCATCTTGATCAATCGCTAAGGCGTGATTATTCTTCTTGATTTTCTTGTCGTGAATCCTGTTTATTCAACCCTCTAATCCGGTCGCTCCACCTCCTACACAGGGTTCCCCTTGTCGCAAGCCGCTCGAATCCTCAACTCCCCCTTCATTAGCCCGAATATTTATCTTGGAGTGTCCCCGCACATAAGTCTCGATGTTAGCGCATGTATGACTCACACATCCGAGCTATAAATACACACGCGCAAACACCACACACGACATCAACGTGGTTGACCTCTGAAGTAAACGCTTGTGTTAGTCCTCTCCGGCCTTTTTCCTTCACCACAGGTATCAGGCAAGCGTAATCGGGCCAGGGTTAACTCAGTGGCCCCGGTGTGGTTCAAGATCACATGCTGGGGCCCACAACATTCTCTTCTGCTAAGTACCTTAGCGCACAAGCTACCATGTGTTTCCCCAGTTTGATCAAATCGGAAATGTCGACTTCCATGGTAGGGATAATGAGGAATTTGTTGAATATGTTTATGCCTTAACCATTTCTTCAGCATTCCATTTGCGAAGTTAAGGCCTTCGACTGCATCTGGTATCCCGTGGTGTTCAGTAGCTTTAATCGCTTTCTCAGTGTAGAACTGGAGCGAAGTGGTAACACATTGTACTATCTAGGATACAATATACAATTACTACATACTGCTTATTAACAGGTGTATGTTATTTGATGTCTTGCACAGCACAGTAAAAGTTCTGGGAAGCATTCAGAGCTAGCCAGAAGAGTAAAACAAGAGTAACACGTTATAAATACATAACACTCGTAATAATCGTTCATTGATTCAAAATGCACTGTTTAAATCAGCAAAGGAAACAACGCAACAAGAGGCTTGCGGTGAACCTATTTCCATTCATACGCCACAATTAGACATCTTTTACACGTTGATATAACTGGATGTTTTCCAATCCAGTCAACAACGAAGCCGATGGAAGGCCAATTCACGGCATTCCAAGAATTTGGCACCAAGTGAAAAGACGAACATGAAATAGGAAATACGTTATCTTTTCAAATGCACGATGAGAAGTAGCTGTGGGCCACAAGCAAGCCTGTTATATACATACAAAATGTGACAACACCCATTTGGGGGGGTAAAATGTTTGTTCAGCCTTAGGCCTTGACTTTTTTGCTCTCAACCGGAACTGAGGTGATGGCGGACGAGGACTTGCGCTTCTGACCAACGCCGGAGGACGCCAGCGCACCCCCAGGCCCGCCCACAGCACCAGCTGTGGCGGTTCCAGATGTCGGACCGCGTTGCTTGCTCTTGTCCTCCATGTCCACCACCTCACGTTCAATCAGGGTGATTAGTGTACTGCACCTCCGTTGCAATTCCTAAAATTTAAACAATCGGCATCAGTCGCGGCGCGTATAACCTGAGCTGTGAACAGCACGATAAACATTTTGGAGTGATATGATGCGGAAACGTTCACGAGCGCGTTTCGACAATGTTGGACACCTAATCACTGCGGAATATGACTCAGGAGTGCAAACATTTTAAAAAGCTGTTGCTGCACGCACAGTTGATACGAGGAGCAAGTAAACTAAGATAACTAATCTGAGGTGGTCAGGTTTTTGAACACACAATCCAAAACAGGGACCTACCATAGCAGTTCGAGACCGAATGAACCAATCAAAGCGAAACTGGGGCGCCAGACGAATAGCAAGTCGGAGATCGTCGTACACGTTGTCGCGATCGAATCCCAACTTGTGCAGCATACAAATGAGAAAACGATCCTCCTCTTCAGTATAATTCTTGCCCTTATTGGCGCCGTATTGAATGCGTAATTGGTGGAACGGCGCGCGATAACGCGCCATCTTGATGTCCAGAGCCCGCTTCACTGCCGCGCGACGCTGGATCTTAGCCTCGCCTCGCTCGATCTTGGGATTAACGGAGTAGGCAGGGGTCAGAAAACAACAACAAAAATGCCCTAACGGGCCGTCGGGAATGGCAATATTGCATGTACCAACCTGGGCCATGTGCTTGTCCACGTCCTGCAGTTCGCTGCATCGCGCCCAGAACACACGGGCATAGCGCTTCACCTCGTCTGGGGTCTTGCCCTCCACGTCGAGGGAAATGGACTCCAAGTCGTCGCGACCATGCTTTTCATTCGCCTTAATGAACTGCTGGAAGTCACGCTTCGACCAGTTCGTGAAGCCCTAGAACGGAAGCACAAATTCGGTGTGCATGAACCGAGTGACGAGGTTGTAAACAACCAGTGGGATGGACTAACTTGAGTTAAGAGTTCCTCTTTTTCCGCCAATTCGGCGTCGTCAAGGGGGGTAGCGTCGTTGATTTTTGCCTGTTCCTCTTGGCGCTCGCGTTCACCGTCAGGACCTGCGTCGGGATTTCGCGGGACCTTATATCCGATGCTCTTTCTGGAGGCAAAAAATGAGAGCAACGTAGAGGTTATCGGTTAGTCAAGTGACCAATGACGTACGAAAAAGAAGAACCAATAGCAATCATAGACACCTCATAAGGAACCGGTGTGGGCAGTTAAGTATAGGCTGACAAGCCGGAATTTCACACGACTCTCTACATAACCTGTCCGAATGTAAATTATTTGATATAACCGAAGAGAATATCCACACCCCTGTTCTGCGCTATTCACAGAACCACAGAGAATGGATTTAACAGTGGGCATGCAAGGGGTGTCGTTTGTTTTCATAGTTTGGGTCAGACTTTGTTCACAGACTTTAGTACTCGCGAGGGATCTTGATGCTTCAGTGAAGTCCTGCACACCACTAAAGGTGATGTCTACACAACCAGGAGTCACTCAGACCGCGCCTAGAACACTAATCGAGGCAACCCAACGTGGCGCATACCGGAAGGCGTAAATCTCCTTGTCCAGGAGTTCGAATAGACGCGGCGGGAAGAACTGGAAGTCTTGAATGTTTGGCTGCTTGGGGGGCCTCGGCGCTTTGGGGGCTTTAGGCTCGGAGACACGGAGGGCTTCGCGGAAGTACGCGTCCACGGCGTAGTTGGCTTTGCGTTCGCGCTTCGGCGGCTCGATCCAACCCTTGTGTGGAGAAACAGCGCGGATTAGACAGAAGGAAACTTGAAAACTAGGCTAAGAACCTCTGGAAACGTCTGCGGATCTGAGAGTCTGGTTACACCACAAGAGCCATTCCCATAACGTAACGAAAGCATAGACCAGTTGGGTTTCGATAGGGTCTAATTGCCACCGAATATAGTCCAAGTCAAATTGCGACAGAACACGCACACTCAACGGAGGTGAATCGCCTAGCACTGGTTCAACACATCGAAACCACATGCATGTACAACCAGACCAATGTGCTGGAGAAGGGAATGGCACTCACTGCGAGGGCGCCGGAGTTCTGCTGTTTCGTCCGGTAGTCTTCACCGTCGAAAATGTACACTGAATCGGGCGTCTCCTCCTCGGTGTCGAAACGCAGAAGCCGCAGATTCGACTCGCCCATCTTGGCGTACTTCTCGTTTAATTCACTCGTCTTCTGTTCGCCACGAGCGAGGATTTCGTCAATATCCTCATCCTTGATAGCACTCTCCTTGCTACGAAATATGTAATTGGCGCCGAATTTGATCATATCGAGGACCTCGGTTTTCTGAAGTTGATTCGACTTCTGATCCACAAGACGACCTGAGGTGTAAAAGAGAGGACTCAGCACACAAGTTGACACATGGCTAAATAAGGTGCCGAGGAAACAGGCCATGACGAATTTGACTGGCTATCGATTTAGATTCAAAGATTCCAGAGTCCGACTCTCTAGCTTTACCTCTACTACTGCATGTGCTGGATTCAGAACAACCGACAGAATATTAAAAGGAATGGAAATTACTTGGAGGTAAGATGAACAGATAGGTAGACTAACCTTGCTGGATGACGAGGTTGTCCAGGTAGAGTTTCATGTCAGCGCGCATAACAATCCGCTCTTCCACGGTGTTCTCCGTGATGAGACGGAAAACACGGACTGTCTTCGTCTGGCCGATGCGGTGCGCCCGGTCCATGGCCTGCAAGTCCACCTGGGGATTCCAGTCAGAGTCGTAGAGGACAACGACGTCTGCGGTGGCCAAGTTGATGCCCAAACCACCGGCGCGAGTTGAAAGCATGAAAATGAACTTGCTTGAACCAGGACGGTTGAACTCGTCGATGGAAACCTGCAAATCAAAACGTCTGGTTTAAATCTAGATCCACAAACGGTTATTTTCATTCAACAACAGACTTCAATGGTTAACATGAGACCACGCACCTACAGATACGAACCAGGCTATTCAAAAACACCACTGGTCACGTATTAAGAAAAACGTTACACAAAAATGAAGTTAAACGTGGAAAGTGGTCTATTGGTGAATTGGCCATCAACTCGATTTAGGCAATAAAAAGCAGTGTAGACACACCTGTCGATCATCATGCGCGGTTTGACCATCTAGTCTGAAATACTCGTGTCCCCGCCACATACAGTAGTCCTCGAGTATGTCGAGGGTTCTGGTCATCTGACTGAAGATAAGAACTCGAGACCCCTGTTCACGCAGCTTCTTGAGCAACTTGTCCAATAAAACCATTTTCCCACAATTATCGACCAGGTGTTGATCTGTGGTGTACGGCGGACCCGGTTCAACACCGTCAAAGAGGTAAGGATGGTTACAGCACTTCCGGAGTTGCATGAGGACGTTCAGCAGCCGCACTTTGTCGGCCTTCTGACCAGTCGAATTCACAAGGTCAAGATCTTTCATTAGGATCTTGGTATACAACTCCCTCTGCATTTTGCTCAGACCAATATAAATCTTGATCTCCTTTTTAGGAGGGAGTCGCTTCTCAACATCAGCTTTCACACGACGGAGAAGAAAAGGACGAAGAATCTATGGAAAACTTATTAAGAAATGGCGTTGGACATACGGAATGCAACCGGGTAACCAAAGATTCTTCTTGAAGAGATTGCGAGTTAAACAGTTCATCAAAAGTATCCGATGAGGCGAACATCTGGGGCATCAAGAAATTTAGCAGTGCCCACAGCTCATGGAGATTGTTTTGAAGAGGGGTACCGGTAATCAACAACCGATTTTGCGAATTGAACATTCGAACAACCTCTGATAGTTTTGACTTTTCGTTCTTTATGCGATGTGCTTCATCAATAATTAGATAAACAAAGTTATATCTCCTCAAAAGGGCTTTTTCCTTGATGCACATCTCATAACTGGTGATCAAGACATCCCAATTGCCGGGGAGAATCTCCTCACGGATGACACGTGCCTATGAAGAGACGAAATAAGCAAGAATGCGGGCCACCTACCCTGTCATCAGCATTGCCAATCAAGCAAACAGGGTGCAAGGAAGGAACCCACTTGCGGACCTCGTTCATCCAATTTGAAAGAGTTGATTTTGGCACAATGACCAGGAAGGGCCCTGATTTCCCTCTGTAGTGTTTTACGTAGCCCAAAAGAGAAATAGTCTGCAGTGTCTTGCCCAAACCCATTTCGTCTGCCAGGATGCCATTAGTGTTACTCAGGCCGAGTCCGATCAGCCAATTCAGACCACGGATTTGGTAGTCCCGCATTTCACCGCCCTTCACGTCTACGCAAAAAGGAGATCACAACGTGACAAATAAAAACCCACACCAAGGAGTCACATCGAAGCGCGTAATCGTGGCATTACTGCCTCGCTTCGTTTCACTAAGGAGTTCTTCGTCCTCCTCTTTTTCAGTACGACGGTGACGGTGGCTAAATAAATTAAACAGACAAACAAATTGATTACTCTGTAGCAGAAAGAGGCGCCGTCTGCTGATTGGTTGGGCTTGATAGAGCAACTGAAGTTTCACCTCCTGTTTCTTTTAAGGCCGTGAAGGCAGCAGCTTTTTCCAATAGCTCCTGCATTCGGCGTTTTTTCGCCTAAAACACAAAAGAGGCGCTGGTAATCTGCCATATCTCTGCAATTCACTTGCTTTAAAAGAAGAAAAACTTACCTCAATCTCAGTTACGTCCAATGCAACCCTACCAGAGTTAGCGCTTTTTTCGCCTGTTAAAAGCTAAAGATTTATCCAAATAAGAAAGAGTCGATGGTTTCCCAAAGCTTAAAAGTTTAAAACCATAGTCACAAACTAGCACCTCAGCACCAACACTACATTTAAGGTAATGAAACATCAATTCTGGAAGGTAAGCCATTGAATTAAACGAAGAAGAAAAGAGCACATACCAAGAGCGTTAACATTTAAAAGAACTGTTAACAGACTGGAAATAGAAAGTGTTAAATTACCTCTTCTTCGATGTCAGACATCGTCGATCCTGTTACGACTAGAAGACCAATCAAAACAAAGATATTAAATCACAATAAGCCGCCAATTAGTAATAGGTAGATTAAAACACGACATTCTCCAAAAAAACCATTAACAATAAGACCCTAATAAAGTTAATAAATAAATAAATTATATTTAAAACCTATTTGTTGTTTAATAGCGACAGTGACAAACGTTTCAAAAGTCAATCAGCTTTGACTAAAAACTTTGGATTAAAAAATAGGTAGCGACGCAAAGAAAAAAGTTTGCCTTCTTAACAATTAGGTTGTGTGGACTATCACTTAGAATTATAAAGATAAAATTTGATTCATGTTTAAAATTTTTGAATTGCAATAGTTTTAACTTAAATTGAGGCGTTGTAAAAAACATTATTAATTGTCATCAGATTTTCTTCATAAGTTGAATAAATACAATTGTAGACATTATTTGTTATTAGTAATTCTGCTTGCTTATTGTACATGACGCGTTATTTACAGCTTTGGAAAGAATTTAACAAATGGCTAAATTTGGGTGAGATTCTTTTAATTGTACTTCCCATTTATAAGCTCGATACCCTATATTTGTATACTTTTTGCACTGATCTCGGACATAATTCTATTTTGAACATGGTTTAAATCATGTTGCCTTATCCATTTGGTTCAATAATCCCAGAATACACAAATACCAATACAGAAACCGATAACAACAGGTTAAGTCTAAGATTTAAAGTTAATTTTAATGCTGTTTTGTATTTTGAATTCATGGCCAAAAAATCATCGACGACCATTCGAATCCATATCCACTTGAGGTGTTCCGATAGTTCAACCTACCCTACCACAGTTCTATGTGTCTACCTGAATTCCCTTAACACGCTTTTACCAGATTGACATTAACTAAATAAAATAGGTTCATTTTCTAAAACTAGAACATTGGATTCATAGACAAAATTTCACAAGGAATTCCACTAAATACACATAAATTCTAGATGAAAATCTGGTCACTTCCAAAACAATGCAATTTAGATATTCATGGACAAGTCCGAAGATTTATATTTAGGCTTCCTGACAGTTTGGTAGAAGGTAATACTACACTATTTAAGTACATTCATTAAGACAAAGAAAATGAATTTAATCAGGAGAATTGAACCAAGCACTAGGTACCTAAGATTTGTTTTAGATGGTAGTATGCAACTAAATATTTATAAATACATTTCTGGAACCTTAATCGACAGCATATTTCCCATTCTTGTCGCTTTCTTTTATTCAATTTAACAATTCTAACTTTGCTCTCCATCTATGAGAACCGCAGCCTGTCCGATTGTAGAGCCCAATGGCTACAATACCAATCCAAGAACGAGCTAGAAGTGGAATACAGAACTAAAATAATTAGACATCTGCGACTTTTTAGGATTCGTTGATTCCAAACTATTAACTGGCAATCCTGCGACTTTCGTTTTCGACATGTAACATGGTCGCTTTTGGTTGGAGTTTTTGCAAACAATCCAATTCGGCCCAGCAAGAGATTATGTCATTGCTGCCAAGACTAAAATTCGCAAAAGTTGATTCGATGTTAGGCTAATTACTTTTAATTATTGCTGAACCAGATTATGGCGTCCGAGTTATTTTTAACGGTTATGCTTTTGTTTGTTGCATCAAGCGACGTGTTTGTTATTTACCACAGACACTTTGCGTTACGACGAATCTTTTGAGTCTTGGCGATGGATTGGTAATCAATAAGCCGATCCTATTGAAGCTGATCATCGACATGATATCAGTGCCCAGAATTAAGTGTTACATTGACATTGGTGCATGCTTTCCTGTAAGTCATATTTAGGAGAAAAATACACAGTTCTCCTTGTCAGGATCAGCAAAATCACTGCTTTCATAGTTATCACGTGACAAATTGCTCTGGTTTGCACCTCTTTGTAGAATTTCACCAACACAACTTCTCACATTTTTAAAGGGACATAAATAAAACATCACCGAAAACAGGCAAATTGAAATGTATTTTCTGCCAAACTAGATGTTATTTTTCACACGGAAGTTTTAGCCATGCTACGAAAACCTAAGAAACATATTGAGCACACGACCAAATTTGAACCAAGTGTTTACCAAATGTGCCCAACGAAACCCATATTTTTGCGTTTTTTTCATCATGGAAACCCTCAATTAAGCGTGATTCTCACATCTAAATAGAACAAGAGACATTCTCAAAGGTTCAGTCGCTGACACAAATAAACCTCAAATCAACTATTTACCCGATCTTTTCATGCTAAAGATGTGACTGCATTAACAGCATGACTAACGCATATTAATGAATCCCACACGTTAGGGAAAAATTTTGGCAATTCTGAAAAAAATTAGGAAGTTTAACGCGTACCAAAGAAAATAACCACGACGTACACAGTGGGCACCAACGGTCAAAAGTGTGGTCCTACATTAAAACAGATCTCCAAACAAGCAAAAATTGGAAAGTTTTTTTTTTATTTTACAGAGGGACCTCAAAACGATGGTTGGCCAACTGGTCCCATAGATGGTGACGTTGAGGACGTTGATTTGTCAAGCATCGAGTTCATTTCTTTCGAAAAAATTGTCTAAAACGACGCAAAAAAAACAGTTTGTGAGGTGGCGTAGAAGACTGAATTAAAACGGCCAGACAAGTTGATAACTAGTACTAGCGGAGGTTAAATCAAGAAAGCGAATTGGCAGCGACGGCCAAAGGGCAACAGGAGAGCCGCAGTGTGTGAGCAGCACGCTGAACCACACACAAGACCTGCCCGTGACGTACACATGCGCTGAGCGAACACACACGCACTCACCTATAGGCCTGCTTGCTTTGCTTCTGGCGCAGCAACGAAGCCTGGATCTTTTCACGAATTCGCAACATCTCTGCCCGGCCATAGCTGGGCGGCAGAGGCGGGTAGTTTTTACGCGGCTACAAAAGGCATTAGGTGTGAGAGCGGGCGGTGCGCCTTGCGTTTACGTGGCCGCAGACAACGCGGATGGGCAAAGGCCGACTGGCGTTTGCGTAAGTCTTACCTGGACGAGGGCAACGGTGCCCCTGATGTCGCGATCCACGGAGGGGGACAGGTAGGCCGAGTGGGCTTCGGTCGGACGGGACTTGGAGGGGTGGCTGGAGACGCCGAGAGCCACCATCGTGGAGAGTTCACGTTGGCAGGACTTTGTCGCGTCATCCAGTGCCTTTTGAACAGCTGTGGTGTAGGGCACCTTGGGTCGCAACTTGTTCCTCGTCTGTTAACCAGTGAAAAATTAGACATGTTTAAACAGGATCCTTTTGATGCAAATCATCAGTCAAGTAGGCATTATACTCGATATTTGTGGATATTTTGCTTATTATGGCAAAAATATGTTCAATTCTGCCAATCTCAAAGAAACTGCGGCACACTTGACTATCTTGGAGACTGCCACGCAAACAGTCGTTCTTTTGGAAATAATTATACTGGGACGGCACTTGCAGTCTTGGACTCGTATAACAGGCCTTTGTGAATTACGTCTAAGAGGCTAATACTGCGGTAGTCTGCTTTGATAAGACGTGTTTTTAAGCCTTAACACTTCTTCCTCGAAAATTCCATTGTCCATGATGTACCCAAAGGAAGTAGTGTGTTCTTTTAAAAAGTTATTACGTATTTACATCACTGAAATGATAGTTTACCTGCTGGAATTTGATAAATTCCACCTATGGCTTGCTTTAGGCGTAAATCGAGTGTAACTCCGTTTGCAGCTGCAAACTTAGAGTCACTGCTAACAAGGATTGCAGAAGCGAGTACCTCTTTGACTCCATGCAGACAAGCAATCTGCTAAAGTGAATTCCCTAGTGGTGAATGACTTTCAGACCATCACATTTGCCGAAACCAGTTCAACACACAGTTTCGGACACCTTCACTCTCGTCAACTTACTGCCGTTGATGATTACCGAATCAAGCGACTCGACGTAAGGCTACTCTGTGTGAGAGAGCGATTGAAGACAGATTGTGAAACATAACATGCGCACACACGGCGATCGAAAATCACTCAGAACACGATATTTGAGTTCTAGATAAAATTGTAATTCACTTATTAAAACGAACCAACATTTGGGAAATAAATCTTGACAGCAATGACATCGTTGTGTGTTGAAACGGCTCATAACTTGAGGTGCTGAACTCGACAGTCGTCAAAAACCTTCGTCGGAAGCGACCACGTTCCACGAACGAAATCAGACGATTTTCATTTAAAAAAGATCGAGGCAGTGATTTCGACGGATGTCACGGTTTCGGACAGTTTCCAAGAGACAAATGCGGGGTGCTAACACATGTTTAGGAAGCGATTAACAAGGTAAAAGCGATTAGAGCAGGCAACTTGCGAAGAAAGCGGATTCAAGTACTACACCACATGGCCCCGAATACGTGTTTGACAACTGGATACCGGCTACCAATGATGGCCTGAAATGGCACTTTGTTTGGTTTTTTAATGATGAAAACTCGAGAATGCAACAGCGCGAAGTCGTGAGATGGTAAACTCGACACCAGACACCATTTTGGTATTTGAATAGTGAATCTAAATTCACATCTCGAAACCGAAGCTACCATCTTATCAACCCATTAGTAGAATCATTTAACCAGATGTGATTCGTCAAATCACACACCCACTTTTAGACCAGAGGCTTGTAGACAAGGTCGCGTCTGCAGCCCCACCTGTTGTCCATTGTCCTCCGTCAATTGGCGGGCAAGCTTAATACTAAGAGCAACTGGCGGTAAAAAGATCCCCTCTCCTTAGACACACACTAAGGAACGAGGGAAAACAGCGTTTACCAAATTCAGACAAGCGTCTTGGGATGAAAACACGGTTAGACCGTGGTCAAATTTGCTGGGTTTTAAGATTGACGTGGAGTGTGGTGAGTTCTCAAATACTGACAGCCCCGACTATTGAGCGGAGTCGAACGCCACCCGGCTCCTGTTGTTACTTGGGCAACTGACTCTCAGGTTTAATGACGCTTACTGTTCTTTCCCGTCATTTTACGTCACCTCTCTGACATTAGATTCGGACTCAAGTTAAACCAGTAATGAGCATCGCTCAACGACAGTGCTCACTTGGTGCGTTTTCTAGCACCTAGAGTTGATTTTAAGACCTTTCTCAAGGAATCGGGGTTGTATTTTTGGTCTACTTAGCAATAACCCAGGGGGTGCTGTGTGCGGGATGCCTGTGGCACATCGGCAGGGACTCAGCACAGCTCCAACTGCCGTTTCTGCTAAACACTTTCCCATTCTACTAAATGTTCACCTCACACGAGAAAAACTTTAGCTTGACTTCGAGAAGCAGACTCAGGCAGGTTTATTTTCGAGCCGATGGAAGAACTACCCCTCCTGGGGGAACTAGACTGGTGGATGATGCGATGGATGGTTCTACTAACTCATCCTCCGAGGCATTGATCTACTTGCTGGAGTCATTATTTACCTCGGGGGCCCACTCGCGCATGATGGCCTGCTCCGTCTGGTCGATGTCGCCCACGACTTCGTCTTCTTCCATCGATTCAACATCGTGGTGCATGTTTTCGTCGTCGACAATCTCACCCTCCTCGTGTTCTTCTTCTTCTTCTTCTTCCTCTTCTTCACCATCTTCTTCTTCTTCTTCTCCAACTGCCGAAACCTCAGCAGCCTCGTCGATCGGTTCAGCCGTTCCGACGGAAGGCGCTTTAGCCGGTGTGGAATGAAAAGTTTCGGCAGTAATCGAGAAAACAGGTGGATGGGAGTCGGGATTTGGCGGTTCATCGGTCTCAGCGCCAGTCTCATCTACAACGCTGCAGAAACACAAAATTAAAAAAAGAAATCACTGCCAGTGTGCAATTATCCGAAAAACGAATGGCTTGTCTGCTCCCGGCCTCGTCTCATGGAATCGCACTCCAAATGGACAGGTTTGCACTCCAGCCGATATGGACTGTCCATCAAAGAGATAGAAGCTGGAACAGCTACAGCACAACGTCGACTATCAGCATAGGCGACACGTTACAGCCCAGAACGACTGCAGCATGGAAACGCTCGCGACGTGGCGCCTATTTAAGCATTCGCCTCAGTTTTCAGTTTGCGTATTCTACCAATTAGGAAATACAGAGTGGATTTGTGTCGGCAGAGCCTGTTAAAATTCGAAAACAAATCGAAGAGCCAATAGTAAATGGGCAATTGAAGCGATGTGATTTGCCGACTAATCTCAAGGTTGCCGAATTTTAACGATAAATCCGTTGGAAGGTGCTGAAATTTATCAAATAATGAAGATTCGGACAAAGTGGATGTCGAGCGTTAATAAAAAGGGCAGATTTAGGATGCACGTTTCAGGAAATAATATTGGCAGAGTGAGTGTGAGAAAGGGCAACACAAAGATGCAAGCGTCAGGGATCTTTAAGCCGCTTCATGAGAGAATCACAATAAAAAAATGAGACGGGTGTGAGGATAGACGGTGACAACGATGTTGGGACAGACTACGCCTGCAACATTCGCCATAATGCTTGCACAACGAGACGACTAAGCAGGCAAGAAGGAACTCAAATTGGATAAGCATGGGGAGCAAATTATGAGCGGGAATGCGATTTCTATCACGAATTGATTTTACTAAACGGGAAAAACCGGCAATCCACGAGGTCAAGGTGACGTGGTGGTGCATCGCGGACATACCCGTTGTTCCCAGAATCAACCTTAACAACACCGGCTACAGACTCCTCCATCGGCGCGTCACTTTCTTCACGTTTCCCATCGATCGAAGATGGGGAAGAAGGAGGAGGAGAAGGAGGAGGAGATGAGGATGCGGAGGATGTTCCGCTCAGTTCAAATGGTCGCGGTGGCGACGGATTCTGGTCGATGAAGGAGTCGAATACGTCAAATGCATCCATCATGCATTCTGTGTCAGACCTGAATTAGCAGATTAGGGAATGAGAAACCGCAAATAGTTCTCAGCATTCAAAAGCTGCATGTTTGTGGACTCACTGTGAAGTATCGTCTAGCTCCTCATCGGTACGCGAGAGCTGGGCAAGCGATGCGGCTTCTTTGGCGGAACCCACGTCCACAGCAACTGACGTGGAATAGAAGTTGCAGAAGCTGTTCAAGGAACGTTGAACAAGTGTCTGCAATTGTTCACGTTCAAACGGCTCTTCAGCGTCAATGAACTTCGAAAGGCCTAAAATGTACCGGAGTCAGGGAATTCACGAGGAATGGAAGCAGAAGCTCAGAAAAAAACTTACCAGTAGTTTCGTTTGATAGAACGACAATCAGGTCTGACATATTTTGCGTAAGGCTTTCAAGGCGGCTGCTGATTTTTTCATGTGTAAGGCCCGAAGCTACTGGTTGACCCAAGTACTCGAATCTGCTTGAAAAATGAGATGCTAAAACAAGAAAGTGAGCGGTATTCGTAGGAGAACGCAACTGGTGAAAGGGTGGCTGCAAGTACTGAAGAACTTCAAGAGCAAACAGCGAAATTATCATTTCGGGGACCTAAACAAGTTGCTATAATACAGTCATTTCAAAAAAAACTCACGATTTTGACTGAGGTGACCAGTATCATCGTCACTCTCCTCCTGACGGGTTTGCTTCAGTCGAACAGTTAGTTGCAGCCTGATGCGCATCAAGTCTTGCTGGAGACGGGCCAGTTCAGGGTGTTGGAGGGCGTTGAGACGCTGGGTGAAGGCGTGTGAGGCGCGCGCCAGATGAAAGAGGCGTGAAAGTCGTCTGCGTAGACGCGCGCACTTGGCTGCTGTCGCGTAGGTCAGTGCCTTTCCCGGCACTCCGCCGCTCTTGGCTCGCATAACATCAGAGGCCCATGACCTCAATTTGCCTAAACACAGGTCCAGAGCACAATTAAAGTAGTTTAATAAGTTGGACTATGTCAAGAGGCTGACTGCATTCTCCTTTCTAAAAACACAAATGCTAATAACGAGGGCTGTCGTGGTCATGGATAAGTGGCTCGGTGTTGACGCTTCTAATTCCTCTATACCCAAGTCAGATGATGCGAAATAAACACTCCCGGTATGATTTTAGCAAAATATCAGGCTGAGATTCTAGGCAAAATGCTTCACAAACGTACACGGCTTTAATTAAACTGGTACACACTGCTCACCAAATGGAATAATTCGACGGCATTCACGGAGCCTGGACAAAATTAAGTGCTTCAGAGAGGATTTTCGGATAGTTCTGAGTTCCGATTGTAGGTCCTTCACGACACCACCGAACTTGGCATGCGTAGCTGGGCCTTCGCCAGCAACGAGGACTACAGAGAGTTAAAATAAGCAAAGATAAGCTCACGTTGGAGCAACCGATCCGATGTTAGGCAGTTAACTTCACGAACGATATTCGAGACATCGAGTTTGCTTTCGAGTGGGTCAACAGATTGATAAGGTGAACTGGCATCACCACAGGAGGCCAAAAAACTTTCGCTAATTTGAGTAATGGAGTTGAAAGAGTCCCAGTTTTTACAGTTTGAATAAAATGCAGCAATTTCATCACATCTACTCGATAGTTCGCACATTGCAGAAGACGCGATATCTGTAAAACAAGGTTGATGTAACATAAGCGGACGATAAAAGACTTGATTCCCTGATTGGTTGGTATGCTACGTTAAAGGCAATCAAATTCTTATCATCAGTTAGTTCGAACCATTTATAGGTAAGGAATTCTTGGGGTGAGCAAGCCAATGCAAGAAACATGTTTTTAAGAATGAAAATGAGTCAATCCTGCCATAAATCCAAACACTGAGATAAGAGTGTAAATTTGGTGTAATTTAACAGCTCATACATAACAGGCAAATTACTCAGAATGCTCATATTATAATACAAGTTGCTAAATACGGGACATGGTATTATAACCATTGCGAATAAGGGGTCAATTTTTTCCATTACGTCCCCGAAATCATGACTTATGCAAACTAAAAACACTTTGCTCAGACGAGTATAAGGAATAGTCCGAGCCATCAACTTAATCATTGATGGCTAAGATGACAACGTGCGGGCATTTAATAACCAAGTTACAAGGAGTACTAATAGACAGATGAATTAAATACATGCGATTTCATCCATGAATAGTTGATTTTAACCCCAATTTTGAGCCAAACTAACCTTCGCATTTCCTAGACGATAAACCGATGATAATGTTATCCGCATGGCAACCTATCATCTTTTGAAAATCAGACAGGATGAAATCGAGGTCCATTTTATCATTTAGCAACCAAATTGAATTACGCGGCGAGATGACCTTACTGTAACCAGCTAAAATTAGCGGACCTTGATTTTTATTTGAAGCCTTTCCGGGTAAAGAGTAAAATTATTACTGATTCCATAACCATTTATTAGACAAGACAGATAATTTTGATCAATGAGGTTAGTATCAAATCGCGTTCACATTCCAACATATTAATTTATGCAGGGTGGAGTGGATGACAAGAGTCCAAAATGAATTTTTGGCAAGAAGTAATTCAAAAGCGTTGCTGACATACATAGCTGGGTAATTTAGACTCAGCATAGTCTTACTGGATAGTATGCAGTGTCCAAGCTAGGATTGAGAGGATGGCGTCTGTGGAAGAGATCACAGACTGGATAATGATATCAAATCAACTGAACATATAATGGGATAAAACCACCCTTTTGAGCAGAAGTTGATGGAGATATTTTTTAGACCTATGGATAAACTTTTATTGCAAAGGAAGACCATAAGGCACCAATTTAGTAGGCTGTGTTCAATTCCACTTGGTGCAAATTCAAAATAGCCATGCCAAATGCAGGTGTCTAAATACTTGTAGCAAATTATTTTGAAGGATTTACTGTCGTGAAGTTCTTATTGAAACAAATGTATAAGCACTATCGTAATCGACGCTTATAGCTTCCCAATGATTTACAATTAGCTTCTATGGAGTGTTAGTCGGTGTACTCCGTAATGCACAAGCCTCAATTTACTGCACAGACCGTTCGTCCTTTTCACCTTACCTATTTGAAGCTGCGGTGATGGTTTTCTAAACACAATGTTACTTTGGCCCCTTTTCAACTTCTGTTGCTCTCACGAGTATCTTAACGCAGATTTTAAACAGTCCTACTTCTTCTACTACTGTATTTTTTAAAGTTTCAAGGTGAACTGTGCAACTTTCATGAATGTGGACTAATTGATTGCTAATCCTGCCCTACAAATTACGAAGCCGAAAGGCAATTAAATTTCCCATTTTTGCTCTGGATATTGCGCACTTACAATTTCGTATATCCTCGACATCTACAGCTGATATAAGTCAGTATAGGATCAATTTTAACTGCAGTGTTGGAACTGTTGTGGGCTGAATCATGTGGTCTTGAACCACGCCGGAGCCACTGAATAAACTCTGGCCTGATTACGCTTACCTAACACCCGCAATAAAGAAAACGACCGAAGAGGACTTTTACACAACCGTTTACTTCAGAACTTAATGACGTTGATTTCGTTGTGTCGTGTGTGGGGTTTGCGTGTGTGTATTTATACCTCAGATTTGTGAGTTATAGATCGAGCTCTAGGTGTGAGGATAAACCAAGATAAATAGTTGCGCGAACGAGGGGTGAGTTGGCGACCCGCGCGGCAGGCGAAGAGGGAACCTTGTGTCGGAGGATGAAGGGACCGGATTAAGGAGTGGTCATGAACACAATTCACAACAGAACCCTTAATGTTACTGTTTATTAAAATGAATTAAACCGGATTTTAAAAAAGCATTAAACTAGTATGGAGCTAGGCGTTAAAGGGAAATTTATTTTAACTTAATTACGAAAATGCTAAGCTTTGGAGCGCAGTTAGGTACTGGTGGGCAAAATCCAACGACTTACTGAGCACTAACTTCCAAAATATAGGCTAGAGATTACATTAACAGTCTTCATGTGCATGAGAACTCATGAGTAAAATACGAATCTGTGATAAACTGAGTAAATTATGCTAAATTTAAAGTTCTACCAAAGTCAACAGAACATTAGTGCATCATCTTAACGTTAAAATTCCCTAGCACTTTTTTAAAAATTAAACGGAATTTTAAATACCCAGTGACCTACTAATTTATAACAATCACCTGCTGAGGGTTAGGGACTGCCTTTTTAATAAAATGTGTCTTGAAGCTGTCTTTGTCTGAAGTTCTAGCACTGCACAATGAAAGTAGTTTGAATAGTACTAGCAGTAATTATCTGGTAATAAGTTGGCAGTTATTGGTGTAAATGCCTTGATTAATAAAAGACTTTAAATTCAAGAATAAACAGGAACCTTAGTCAGTAATTTTATATTGGAATCACGAAGTTATACACGATTGTTACTGGTGGATGTCTCAAGTCGATAAAAGAACAGAAACATTGGAAGAAAGCCCATAATTCCAGGAAAAAAAATAACGGCAAGATAATTAGAATGCGAAGTAGCCACTTCAATCGTTAAGCTCCTGACAGAGTTTGCAATCAGCCATTGATGGCACGTATTGCTCCATTTGAATAGTCACCTCGTGGACAAGGAAACGGCGACGCAGAAGTCGATTGGCGCGCGATAACTGCTCTTGTGCTGAATTTATGTCGCCTAGGGAGTGAAAGACAACAAGAGTCAAGTGCAATAGAGCATAATCGCATGAAAGTGCATAAAAATAGAGATATTTGATTTAGCGGTGCTGATAAGTTATTTTCGTGATTTGCACGGGGCCGCCATTGAAAATTACTTGGAATTGTCGTGAATATCGATTTTTGTGCCATACACCTATGACGTCATTAAATGATCCAATATAATAAGAGATGGTGAATTATCTTAATCTAGAATGATTTCTCCTACTTACTAAACCACTAAGACTTAAAATGATTGCTCGAAAATTCTGCCGACTGCGCGTCTTCCCACTAACCAAATAAACCCACACTTTCTTGCCTTGACATAACATTAAGGCTGCCTTAAGAACCCAAAACCCCTGAAGGCTACCAACGCAAACGCAAATATTTGATCATGGATGAAGAAATACAAAAGTAATTGGAACAGCGTGTCAGTACCTGCAACTAACGGGGTTACAATTGCGGTAAAAATTGTTGATTCACGTCCGTTAACCCGGTCGCCGCATTCTTCGAGTCACCGTCAGTCACGTACCTACCCCACCCTTCCCGTTTTACTCATCTGGCCAACCAGACATTCGCCAGCGGTGGACACACAGCTTTGTCGAGACACCGAGTAAACGAATGTCCCTCTCCCCTGCCTAATTTCTGCCTTGGATACTTGTACTGTGTCGTGCTCCAACACGCTCAAGTCCTTCCACTTCTGTCAGAAGAAGCGTCGTAACCAGACCATCAGAGACACGACTGTGAGGTAGATTATGAGTATGTTTACAGTTGACAGAACAGTAAAGATGGATTCACCTGTAGCGAGATGCACGGAGACGGCTGTTTTGTTCATTGTGAGGCTCCACATCCGTAGGTTATGCACCTCCACAATGCCTGGAATCTCGTGCAGTGCCGAACGCACCTCGGCAAAATTCAAACCCTTCGGCACACCCTCCATCAGAATGTTCATGGCGTCCTTGAGGATATTCACGGTTGTAAGCAGGACCAAAACTGAGAAGATGAACGTGCAGATCGGATCGGCTATTTTGTATTCCGGCTATAAAGTGCAAAAGTGTCTGAAACTCATCCGTATTTGTGTGCGCGTGTTTACACACAGATACTCCAAAACAGGTGTTTGCGTGGTAGGATCTCAAGAACAGGCTGCCCTGAAGCGATTCCCTAGGTCAAACTGGATTACTCATGCCAATTTCGGCACTGGTTTCAGATTCGGGACTCAATTGGTTAGCCTTATATCAATTTCTTGAACAACTATCAAAAACACTTAGGGTCACGGGGCTCTGCAATAAAACCTCTTGGAAGAGTGACGTTTGTACATCAGTAAAGGTACACCCAACTTATGTGAGTGAGAAGAAAAACTGTTAAGCTACCACATAAAGAAGAATTTTTTCTCCCAAATTTCATCTTTGGAACGTTACTGAACGTCAGACAAAACCTTGCAGAAGCGCGAAAATGCACTAAAACCCCCCTTCTTACCCGGAAGTAGATAACAAAGGCAGCGACCATAACTCCCAGGCTCTGGAGAAGGTCGCCGATTACGTGGATGAAGGCGGCGCGGACGTTGATGTTCTCCTTCTCCTGTTTCACCGACACAACCTCCTTGTGTTGATCGTCCCCGTGACTGTGCGAGTGGACAGCGTCGGACATGTAGGGTTTCTGCAAACCTTGCTGGAACTCCCCACCCTGGCAGATAGCTTCGTTGGAGAGCTTGTCGCCCTCGGATTGCGAGAGCTTCACGCTGGAGACCTTCTTTTTAAGTTTGGAGAAGAAGCCATGACTGTGTCCATGGACCTTGTGACTGTGGCCGCTGCCGCCTCCGTGGTCGTGTCCGTGTTGGTGCAGGGTTGCAGCCATTCTAAGGGATTTCAAAGTGCAAAACCCGTGTGGTTAAAGGTCGCCGTCTTGTCATCTGTTTTCGTGACAGGAATAGCTGAGGCGATGCTGATTTGCAAAGCGACATCACCTCATTAAACACCACCTTGGATTTATCAACTAGTTGTCGCTTAAACTTCGGGAGGTTTGTGAAGGCGTAAATGAATAGCCAACATCTAACTTAAAACTGGTTAGAAGGTGGAAAATTTCGCGATGTAATGTCTTGTAACTAATTCACTTCTACAATTCGTCAAATGACTTTAGAGGATCCAAACTCAAAACGCCATTTAATCGATAGTTATTTACAAAACGGAATATCAACATCAATTTTCAGGAAAAATATGTAGTGAATAGTGTCGATTCACGCTCAATGACCCGGTCGTCGCAGCCACACACATCCCCCTTTTCACGGCGTGCCCGTCAGTCACTGGTACCGCCTGCCCATTCACTCCTCTGTATGTACCAACACAGCCCGCTCTATCAATGTGACCATTCAGATGTCTGTATTATTACTAGTTCACTCAAATGTAAGTCAAAAACACGAATCCAATGCACGCAAGAAACAACACAACCTCGTTGAGCTGTCCAGTAAACGGCTGTGCCTCGTCCCCTGCGGACCTCCTCATTTTTCCGGGTACTCAGGGTGGCGTAATCGGGCTGAATGCAACCCAGTGGCCACGGCGTGGCTCAAGGCCACATGCCAGGGCCCTCAACAATTGGTGACCCCTCGCACAGTTAGCATTCGTTAGCGAACGCAAATCAATCGATTTTTACCGTGAATGCAGTGTAGTGGACAGACAGCCACCGCGCGCGTGAGTGCTGCGTGTAAGCCTGTCCGACTGTATCAATGACTCACCCTCTTTGTCATTGGTTCTTGTTAGCAGTCGCCTGTAACGCACGCGTGTCGATACCCACACAGAAGTGGGTTTCACGATTTTGCTCGACTTGACTGGCGCGGCGCGAACGGTCGTGTTCCCTGTCGACTCTGTCTTCTCTCCTCTCGGGTTGTGACCGACTGTTAACTATAGGGTTTTGTGGTAGTGCTAATTTCGTCCCCTACAAACGTTTTTCGACCTAGCCATTGGCGATTTTCTGCTACGGCGTAGTTGGCATGGTGGATCTGTCTCATGTTCTAATAAAAATGTCACATCTCAAGCCATCTACCGACAATATTGGGTGATGTACAACACCCAAAGGACCTGTCCGAGTGTGGGGATCGATAAAATGCTAAAATGACTCACATTAAATTCACGGCGACGCCGATCGCAGAGGTGACAAGCATGACCATCCCGTCGATCTCGTAATCCTCGTGGATCACCCGCATGATGGCAAGGTAGACGAGGACGCCGGTCACGAGCCAAATCATCAGCACCGACACCAGAGCCCCGACAACTTCTACAACGGAAAAAAATTCAGTGCTTATGGCTTCTTAATGTAGTTATTGATTAATAGTGTCGGTGAACTAGATAACGATCAAACACTGGTCATCGTCAGGCCATCTCAATCGATAGCGAAGGAAGTGCACACGCCAAAGGGTGTGAGAACAGGTGGTCCCCCATGGCTGAACTGTGAGGCAGTGTACCACAGACGGCATCGACTCACCACTGACCCAATGAGAGTTTGTTGAGAATCGTGTTTATTCACATCCCTTAATCCGGTCGCTCCACCTCCGACACAGGGTCCCCTTTTTCGCAGCATGTCGCCAGCCGCGCGGATCCTCGTCTCCCCCTTTCATTCACACGGACATTCATCCTGGATTATCCTCATACCTAGGTCTCGATGTTGGCGCATCTATGACTCACGCATCCGAGGTATAAATACACACGCGCAAACCCCACACACGACACAACGGCACCAACGTGGTTGAGCTCTGAAGTAAACGCTTGTGTCCACATCCTCTCCTATCTTTTTCATCATCACGGGTATCAGGGAAACGTAATCGGGCCAGGGTTAATTCCGTGGCCCCGGAGTGGTTCAAGACCACATGCTGGGGCCCACAGCAAATTGATCTGAAAGTATGGGCATGGGGAACCCGGTAACCTCTACTGCGCAACATTTACAGGCATTACCGCATTTGATTCTACCAACAGATCCCCAGGTATCGGTTCTAAAACCACCTCTCAATTGCCACTGTTCAGTTCACCTATCAAAACTAGATATTTCAATGTGGCAGTTTAATTGGGTTTAAGCACTTTTATGTAGTGGATTTGCGCGATATACCTTTTCCAGGGACCTTGTGGAAAATTAGTTTTGTGTGGAAATCGTAGCTGGGGTGGTAGGTTATCAGTAAGTGCTTTCACATTTTAGTGCAAGTAATTTTTTAACAAATAAATGCCACCTGAATTTCCTTTAGCTGACTTTAAATCGATGGTTGTTTTTACATTTTCATTGCTAGAACAACAGTTGCGACTTGATTTTAGTGTTGTCGGTGAAGTGTATCAAAACAACATGTGGTGTTGTTTTGTTGGAGTTAAAATGCGATGTGACAATTAGTTTGGTGTGTAAATTTTAGTTGGTTGATGCCTTATTCAAAACGTCCCGAACAGGCCTGATCTTAGTTTATGATTACGCCTTTGCTCTGAGTTGGAAATTGTACAACTAGACCAGTATTCACCTGCTTTCATTGTTGTCAGTAAAGTCTAGCTTTTTGCAAAGGAGCTAATTTAATCGTCAGTAATAAATTGATCATAAAACAATACTTAAACTGTTTTTTCTGGTCAGAGGTAAGTGGCGGTGCTTTCGTTATTAGTTTACCAAAACCCACACACATTATATGTGGGATAATTCAGAAACTGGTGCATACTCGACGCCTGGTGGAAATATTCAAACCAAACTATCTTGGTGTTCGTCAACACCCCAAATTCAACCACCCAGTTGCCACGGTTACTACTCAAACGCATCGACAATGCGAAGTAATCCAAATGAGGTTTTGTGTGCATGAGCATCGGCCAAAGAAATTGTTGGCGTTACGGGATCTGACATCGTCTTGGATTAGTTGTTTGATTTGGCGTTTCTGAGCAGCGGAGATTTAAAAAGCGCAGGGTAGTACAGACCTGCCCGGTACCAGCCGAAGCTCATCATTCGTGTTGCCGGCCTGCTAGCCAAGAATATTGCGAAGAGGCTTATCAAAAAGCTGGCGAAATCCGTCAGAAGGTGTGCCGCGTCAGTCATGATGGCCAAACTGCCAGCCAGTGCTCCACCTTAAAAGACATACTTGGATTTTAACTTTATCGATTTTTTTAAAAATGGTGCCAAAAGGCAATTCGACTAAACAAAATGACATATTAACAAATGCGTCTATTAGACAGGTGCAGAAGTTTTGCATGAATTAAAACCACTCAAAATTAATTTGCACAGGTGTTTGTTGTCCGCTTGAATTGTAGCAATTCATAAGTAATATGTTGGTCTCGTAAGCTAGAACGGTAACATACCAGTAGCTTCTCCGATCATGAACACGAGACATAGCGCGCTGGCAATAATGAGTTTTCGTCTTGCAACCTTGTCTATCCCTTCATCGTTTGGTCCCGAGTGACAGTGTTTTCCTGCAAAGACAGACGCATTAACAGGCATTTCAATTAACTGAGGAACTACATTTCACACTAACTAATGACTATAATTAAAGTCGCACATAATGCTTTGACACGGTGCTATTCACATCAATCAAATCCTAGTTGTTGCGCGTGATATAGTCAGGCTTTTTTTTTAAATTGCAAATTTGCAGTCTGAACGTCATGCGCCGTGTGTTCTATCTATGCCTACATCGAGGATTACAGTTCGTCCATCTTTGCATTCATCCTTGGCTACATTCTCGGACCTCGATGTTTATAAACAGGCGAAAGCGACTCGGGGAGTTAATGAAGAGGATGCCTACTTAAATGCATATATTAGTAGTAGTAGCAGTTTGAAAATATTTTTAGGGTCCGAAAAGGGGCGTGGAGGCAGCCGATTTTTCTCTTATCACTAAGGTATATATATTTTTAGTATCGTATGTGATTCATTTTGTAAAATCAAACTTGTTTGGAGAGAAATGTGTTGGAAAACTTGGAAAAAGAACTGCCGTTTAGCGGGCTAAGGACTTTCCCATGTGTCTCTTACCGGAAGTGAAATCGTCCTCGCTGTCAAGGGAGCCTCTAAAATGCGAAAATAAAGGATCTGTTTGACAAATTGCTGCTGCATTACAATTGCAGGAAAAAAATTATCCAAATGCAGCACAAAATTGAGGGCGTACAAGCCAGGAAAACGGTAACTCCTTAATCACGAGCTTTCATCTGGTCATCAGGACACGAAATTTCATTGCACTTTCTCTCATCAACCGAAAGTAGCGTTAGTTTAGGAGATGAGAGACTACCTTTTGAGCATTACCTACCATGCATTGAGTGGTTGGCAAGTTAGACGGTTTTAATATATAGCAAATCGATAAATGAGTCGATGCGATTTATCAATACGCTTGATTATAACGTGGACTCGAATGTTGGCGATTGCAGGCCGAGGTTGCATTAGCACCATCTCTCACATCAGGTGAAACCCTCTTGTTTTAGATTTTGCGACTTCAAGTCATAATAGGTTGGGTAAAAGTGTGGCCATCAGTCGGGTTTGTGCACTCAAAAGTGTACAAAACGGTAATTTCCACGCAAATCCGCGGAATTGTGGAAATCGTTGGAGCATCCACGGTTATGTAGTAAAGCAAATGCAAAACTACTGCTACAAGTTACTGTCTCATCCATGACGTGGCACAAGGAAAGTTCTAGATTTTACACCGATACCCGACACAAAATCCAATCACAGTCAAACCCTTGAATGGTGAATTTTAATGCCTTATTGCTACTAGAAACCGATGAGGCGAAAACGAACAGGAAATTGAGTTCCTCTCATGCAAAACCATCGCATTTCTTGGAGGAGGTTTCAACAACGATGGCCTAGTCACATCACAGGGGCCCTCCCACATGGATTACTTCAAGAACCGATTGAACTCACAAAAATTTGCTTTTTTGGTAAACGAAGGAGTGCAACCTCACGCAAGTGAGGTCAATTCCGGAGGTCAGGTGTTATGTGTCAAATTGTCCTTCATTTGAAAATATTTTTTAAACAAGCTTAACCAAAACAAAGTGATGCGCAAGGAAAATTCGTAACTTGCGGAATGAACTCACGCTAAACGCGTTGTCTTTTGTTTGCATGAATAATTTTTTGGTTTGTTTTTTTGTGACAGTATGAACAAGTTCTTCCCAACCAACAAAATTTATTTTAACCGGAAAGAAAGACACGCCGTTTTCGGAGAATGGCTATTGATGTGCTACGACGACAGCTCTTCAAAATTGTCCCACTATTTGCTGCTTCATTCGTTCTGGTTCCAATCCAACTGGTAATTGGATTTATTAATAGTACAGTCGGAGTTGACATTCAAAAAGAAAGTTTTTAGCGGGATTAACTTGACACCGAAGTGACCTCGTCTAAATCACCAGAGTTTCCTTTTTGTCATGAAGAGTACCACGAAACAGACATCGACGAGATCAAGAAGACAGGAGAAGTAACTTGGCGAAGACAGTTAAAGACGATAGATGCCAATCCCCCAGGGAGAAGTTAGCTCAGAATTAGTTATGATCTGTCAAGTCTCTTGACATGTTTTTCACGAGACCAATTAGATGCGATCAACAGATGTTTGATTTAAGCCCAAGGTAAACTTAGGTTACACCATGATCATCCAGAAAGTTATAGTAGATAAAAATCCCGGTAATCGAAGTGAACTTTTGCAAGTTTGAAGTATATAGAGTATTGGAACAGAAATGGAACATAAACGGTAGTGAGCAAACTCGAGATAAGACCACGATGGCTATGCCAAAGATTTTCGTGTTAGACTAAATTTCATGTCTTCTAGCACATGCATATTCAAGGGCTTGAAGGAACTGCATAAGATCGGACGGAACATGGAACAGGGCTTACTCCTTAAACGTCTTCGTAATGCTGTAGGAGCGTTCGGCCGGTTTGAGCTCCACGTCACTGGCCTGCTCATAGCCAACGTGTAAGTCCTTCTCGTTCATGTCGGCAAGTAAGGAGTTGAGTGAAAAAGCTTGTTCGGGACCAGCACAGTGCCCCGCCAGCTCGGCGGTAATTGGTCAGTGCATTTACCCGTACTTCACAAACTGCCCCCTCCCCCCAATTCCTACTTCCGGGGGGTAGAAGAAACGGACGGAAGTTGGTCGAAATGGTAGTTGTCTCGGATTGTGTAATTATCAAAGTCGACACTGGGTTTGCAGCCTCTAGTGCTTCATAATGGAGCCGAGTAATGGTCGTTCGGGTGTAGTTCGAATACGACACCAGTAGACTACGCACAGATTTGTCTTTGATCTCTTGAAGGTTCCAACTAAAGCCTACCTAGGTCTAAACTTAGCTAAACTCGAGCGAAGTAGTAGAGAGCAGTAATTTTGTTTAGTTCTACTTTGAAAGGAGATCCCACTCAATTATGGTAATATAACTTTAAAAAATGACAAATCGTGAGTATCCGAGCAATACTAAGTCTTTGCCTTCTTCTCAGATCACACTGCGAATCGCAAATCAAGCGCATAAACAGGAGTGTAACTGTCCATTTCATATGAATCAAACCCATTAAATGCGGCATTACGTGTGGAGTTCCTCAATATTTTGGTAGTTTCAAGACTTATGCTGTTCCATACCCCATCTACCAACGACCCCAATCATCATTTTTTTATTTCAAATTGAACAGTAGGAAATTAAAAAAAATATGTTGACGTCAAACGTGTATTCTGTCAGCCGGAATTTTGCCATTTGTACCTAGTGACGGCTTGGCAACTTTGCAACAATAAAACCATGACATTTAACAGGGGCCATTTGAGTTACATCGTGATTTTTCGATATAACACGCACCTTCAGTAACCCAAAGCAGTAAAACACCTTAGCAGCAATAATAGCGAAAGTCGTAGAAACCTCTGCGGGGGACTAGTTACCATGGTACTTTGGCGGCCAATACGAACAGCCTGAAGATAATTTAAACAAATTTTGACGTTCGAGTCAATGCGCCGTATCTACGCTAGCACCGAAAATATTCGATTAAAGTAGCACAAGTGAGAACTCACGCATTCACAAAGAAAACCGACGGATTTGACTGGTTGAGGTTCTCGTATGTCGCAGAGGCTTTTGAACCATGTGGAATCATTGTGCAGCCAGATTCGAGTGTGAAAATTGCTGTCAGTATTCTTGTGTAAGCGAGCACGTGTGACGCCACCGTATTGGTTCAGCTCACCTGATGACGAGCATGTTATCGCAATCCAAATGACGGATTGTAAGTACTCTGGAGTTTTATTCTTGACCTTTTAACTTATAACCGCTCTAGTCAAGCAAGGGTGTGAGTTTATTTAACCACAAATGATTCGACGTCCATACTCCTTTGAAGGGAGGGAAGAGGAGGGTTAACCTGAATGGGAAGAGCACCGAATTGAATCCGGATTCTCGAATGTTATTACGTACGCTTCCGCGTAGGGAATGGCATCGACTTCGCTCTAATTTGATACCGCAATTTGTCGTTGAGGCATTTTAATTAACTACGGAAAGCTGCGGTGTTTTGAAAAAACATCATAAGACGCCATAGGTTTGGAGTGACTGCAAAAAATCAAGTGGCACATTACAGGACAGGTAGTGCAAACTCGAAGAGGTCGCGTTGTCAGGATTTTTTTATAATTATTTAAGATTATTTCAAAATTATTTGGATAGCAGCCGTTTACTAGCGTCAAGTTGGATAAGCGTGCTTGTGTGTGCGGACGAGTGGGCGTGCGTAATCAATGAAGAGTGGGGATGAGTCATTGAAATCAATAATTCTTTAAGGAGGTTTCACCCTCGCGCGATAGCTGATTACCCACCACAAACACACGCAGCTTCTAACGAAGCACAATGCGCTAGAGATTTAACCGTAAAATCACCAATGACATTTTTTTTAAATTTCAAAGAGGCATTACTTGTTGAGTAACTACTGGATAGTCCGTCTTCTCAACAATGTGCACAAAAAAAACACAAAATCGGTAAGAGATAAATCTGCCTTACCGCACTGTCACTGACCCTTTAATAACTTCTTCTAAAGAGCTAGTTTAGTAAACCATTTAAAAGATCCCCAAGATTTCAATGCACAAATATTTTGATGGCCGCGCCCATAAACGCCCGAACTGCCACATTTGTCAGCACATTCGGCAGATATTTACTTATGCCGGATATGCGTGTGCCATGTGTCGAAGCATTTGCTAAAATAGATGAGTTAGAAAAAAATGAATAAGCTGTGTCAAATTTCTCAAAATGCGTCTTAAACTTCATCACCAGGAAAATATCATGGCTGCTTCCCTGAGAGGATTGTGCGAATTTAGGCACAATACCCACCACTTCCTATGTGTCCCTAATTAAATGGATTTGGAAAGGACAGAAAGTTTAGAAGCTACCCCTATGCCTCGCAAGTCATGCTTTGTTCACTTAACTAAGAATGTTAGTCTGAAGCAAGCTAGCTTGTATTTTTTGTACTAAAAAAAGCCAAATTGGTCACAACTTGACCCTCACCGTTGCAGTTAGATTGTATTTCGATGTCATGTCTGATTCATGTGAAAGTACATATCTTCTTCGCTGGTGCATAATACGGAATGTAGAAAAATCTCACTAGATAATTAATTGGTTAATGTAACATTGTCTATTCTAATCTCTAAAATCAACATTTGGCTGGAATTTACAACGAATCCATGACTCAGAGCAGCATCCGATTGGAATGAGAATATCAATATTTACAATTGATGACAGGTGTACTCTAATGGCAGTAACCGAAACGTAAAAACACCCATTTCTTATGTTACAGTTAAATGCTTCTAATTTGACATGCGGTCATTACGTAACGCCTCAATTGCCCGTATTTATTAAAATTTTGGGAAATAAAATAAAAAAGACCAGATGATAGGCCAGCCGCATTGACACAACTCCTTATTTGCTAAAGGACTGCAATTACGGACCCAGAACGATCAAAGTGGAAATTAAAGTATAATTACTTAGTTATGGTTGGATCTACAGCATGAAGCTGAGTTACGAGGTTGAATATAACGCATTTGCTACCGCTTAGCAAATAAAAGTGGCAAGAACGATGAAAGATGGCGCAGTTGGTTACACAGGGCTGGCATTTGGGCTACTTGGCTAAATTAGACTTGGATGATTCAATTTTGCTAGACCAGTGATAATTCAATCTAACTTGACAGAATGACATGAAAAAACATAATCAAACTGAATAACAATTAGTAGAAACAAATTTCTTCAAGTATTTAATAAAGTACTAAGACACAACTCGAGTGGTGCTTCTTACGGCAAAACCAATTTTTTAGGCAAGAAAATTTATGATTGCCAAGGTTCAAACCTCTGTAGTAAATATAGAATTCAACTTCTTAATCTAATTTTGTTTTTAATACAAATGAAAGTGCTGTTATGCTTATTAGGTTTGTATAATTCTGAAATCTCTCAGTAAAGAAGTGTACCAAATAATCTTGATTATTTCAGTTTTATAATCGTCATTTTGACCACACAAATACAGGGCAAAAATCCTATATAAAATATTCCTAATTCTTCCCAGAGTAATTGATAACTACTTCAAGCTTCATTATTTTAGATGGTAAATTTTGGATAGAGCGATAGATTCGATTAAACCGAGTATATAAAAAACTGAACCTTGCCCCTTATCATTAATTTGAGGATATATTCAAGTGACACAAAATTAGAGTTAGTAAAATGCGTGTTTACGAGTTGGTTCAGGTACGATGACCCAAGAAGAATAATAAATTTAATGGTTTGAACTGGAGTGGGGCTAGGGTACTGATTTTCCCGATAAATTTATTTAACACTCATTTACTTAGAAATGGTCACGACCTATACTGCCAGGATTAAACTTTTTCTTCTTAGACCATATTTAAAAAAAGGACTCAAACTCAAGTTATTCCTTAAAATCTGACGAAAGGTGATTGTATCAATGAATTTTGAGTTAGGCCTCTGGTCAATTTAGGACCAAAAACTATTCAAAACTACAATTAACTCTTTAACTGCACTTTTGGAATTTTGGAGTACGACATTCCAGAGACGGTTAAATGTGCAAGGATAGAAAAAAAGGCATCTTATCAAAGAACTGGTAAAAATGATTTATTTAGACTAAGAATATCTGTTTAACGTGCCTATGCGAAACATGATTGGTCAACGTTGTGTGACGGTCATTAAAATTTGAAATTCTGCCCTATATGATCGTCCGTCATTCGTGTAGATAACGTATGCGGATGGTTGTCGAAGATGTCTTCTCTGACTGATAATGAACTGAGGGATAAATTGAGAGAATACGGATTTGAATCCGGTCCAATTGTTCCATCTACCAGGAAAGTTTATGAGCGAAAACTCGATAGGTTAATTAAGGAAAGCAAAGGTGGTAGTACTCGCCTCCGTAGTAATGATAACCAGCCGGTTGACTTAGTTAAAAAAGAAGGCAAGTCTCTAATCCTCTTTTTTCGTTAGAACGTTTTTAAATTAGTGGGTTAATAAAGTGTTTGGCTTTTGTAGGTTCAGTTTCACCAAACGTTTTTCGTCAGCTCAACTGGTCATCCTTCGTAAGCGGTCCCAGCGAGCGTGCGTCCACGCCCCTTCCACACACTGAATCGCGGCACCAATCCCAATTATTCTCACCAAGTGCTCCGAGCTTTGTTCCGCAGCAAAACCCTGGTCATACCCCCACCGCCGGCCCCAGAGCGCCTCTAAGAGCTGTTAATGCTAATGTCACTTACGACTCACCGAGCCCATCAAGTGAAGGTCCACGGATGGCTCACAAATATTCCACCCCCAGTGGTGTTCAGCCTCGGTCAAGCTCTGGTGGCCGTGGACCCATTTCATTGACAGGACAGCCCCGTTCTCGTGAACTAGGTCCAGACGCAATGTGAGCTCGCTTTTTCAAGTTGCGACGGCTCTGCCTACACGAATTCCATAATTTTTTTAATGTTCTAGGCGTGATGCTGACACTTCAACGTCTAATAGTCTCTTGCTCACTCCCAACGCAGCATCTCGTCGGTCGTTTTGGTCAGGTTGGCAACCACGAGCCTCGAGCGCTGGCTCCTGTCTTATGTCGGACGAATCAAATACTGGTGACGCTGATATAAGTCGCTGGGTTTCTCAGTCCGAAAAAACTGCCAAGCGCAGTCAGCCCATGGGACCAAATTTCGACAGTTCATTTTTTTCAAGATTTTCCGGATTATCATTTGGAAGTCAAGTGCCCAATTTGATATTACTCTGTGGGACCATACTCTTTGCTGTAATTGCTTCAAGCTATTTATTGCTAAAGGACAAACATGGCAATGTTGGTAGAATCGCAGGTAGGCTTTATTTAGAACGTGTCCCAGCGGTGATTTGCCGATTCCCGTTGGTCCTCGTTTCGAGGTCAATGATCGGTTTTAACATTTTTTCGTATTGTCGGTATATTTATTAAAATATTTCAGTAGTGGATTTTTTACTCTTTTATAGACTTCCAGAAAGTCATTTGTCATCCAAACGAGCCTTACGACAGAGAAGCTGTTGCCATTCCAGAAAAGTCAGCCTGCATTAATGGCCGAGATTTACCGTTGGTTTTAAAAATCGTGCATCCCCTCTTCGAAATTCTCAGCCGTTTCGCAGGTAGGCAGCCAAATTACCTTGTTTTATTATGAATAATCTTTTAGTGAGGGTCATGCTTTGTCTGATTTTTAACTCCTAGTTCGAACAATTTGCTGACTTAAAAAATTATTTTACGCACTAGTGTAATTAATCCTCTAGGTGAATATCGTTGTGGTGAGTCGGTTGAGAGTTCAAAAATGGAAGTGGGAACGGCAAAACGCCTCGTAAAGGGTTACTTCGGAAGCAGTCCGGTCTCCCACATATCTGAAAACCAAGTGGACGATCTGTGGCGCAGCGTCTTAATTTTAATCACTGAAGTCGGACGAAAACACCTCGAAATTGCTGCTTATGACGGTGATGGACTACATCCCGTGTAAGTATGGTATTCCCTGCCATTAGAGCTTTCACAAAATTCCCTTCTAGCTCTTTTTGCATCGTCCTAGCATTTGTCTTGTCAAGTGTTTCTGCGGTTTTGGTGAATTCTAACGTTGTGTGAAAGGATTTTACTGATTTTAAGTGGCCAATATGGTTATTTTCTCAAGATTTCCTCGTTGCTTTGAGTAGCCGTACAGGTCTTAGTTGTCGCGTCAAGATAACTAGAGGAAGATTTTGGATTCGTGTAAATTTTTCTCAATTCGCTAAGGTTTATTGACTAAAATGTACCTCAAATGCCAACAAGTGGGAAAAGTCAAACAGGAAAAGATCTTCACGAAATCCTCACCTGAGACAATTTTTCAAAACATGCTTTGCAAAACGCAACTTTTTACTCCACCTCATTGGTTATTTAGTGGTCGATGCAACCAGGTAGCAACACTTAGTCCGGTGACTTATTTAAGTCGCAAATTCTTGAGGTAGTTTTGGTCGACAAGTTATCTTGTTAAACCTCTGATTTTGACGGGATCTGAAGGAACAGGACTCCCTCCTCCTGCAATTCCGTAGTGGCCCTGAGGCAGCGCGTGGTAATTTGTGTGCTTCATCAAAGCAGTCAGGCGGTATCACGACAGGCATCGCATTTAATCTTGTGAAAATCTGATTCCAGTGGTTCACATGCTCTGCCATCGGCTTCGTAGTTCATCATGGATGCGCAGAAAAGTTAAAATTCCGTGCACCTTCGGGATTTTCCAGAATTTGACATTTACACATTGTTTTTGCTTACTGTTCCTCCTTTCTGCCAGCTGGTGATAGTTGTCTTCTTATTGGCTCCCCGTAGATATTGGCAGGATGTACAAGAGCTGGAGAGTCTTCGTCCCTACATCCCCGGCAGTTGCCGCCTACGTCTTCTGTTCTTCTCACTGCTGCATTTCCTGAACAACCTCTTCTGGCTCCTCCTCATCCTCTCTGTCGTCGGTGGGGTCTGTTACGTCGTCTATCGTGTCAAGCTGTCCCACCAGAGTCGAACCAGTAAACGCGAGATGCGTGTCCGCGAGATCGTCTATCAAGTCATAGGCAGGTTCACCGTTGTAATCACAGTTGTCTGAAGGCCTGGCATGGTAACATCTTCAATTAATGTCTAAGCCACTATTTTCGCCCAAATACGCTTCATGCCTCCACCCGACTGACCTGCCGTTTGGTTTAGGTCTTCTGCAACAGCAACTGCACGTCAGACAGACCCATCCCGCCGAGCCCCCTTACATCCCCGTGTCTGTCATCAAGGAGACTTTGAGCCACACAAACAAGGAGTAAGTATTCTTGCCTTATCACCACCTTTTCATACAAACATCAAAGTGTACACCTTCCTATTGTGTGCTTCGTTCGTAGCTCAGGTGATTCCGTTGGCCCCCAACTGTCTCTTTTTCTAACCTGACAACCAGAAATTCATTCACCGTGATACATAGCTCCTCCCCCATATCCTTCGCGTAAACTTAAAATGACTAGGTGCAAGAACTCTTGAGGTCGTGGCTATTCACTGCACTAAGCGTCTGTTTTTGGGGTTTAGTTTGGCCGACGTGTGGAAGGACGTGGAGCACCACGTGCACTTGGTGGAGGGCTGCATTCTGGTGCAGGAGTGGCGAGGCCTCGGCGAGACCTGGCAGTGGCAAGGCGGCTCCGGCTGGCAAGGCTCTGGTAAGCACCCATCTGTGTCCTCTCCACGCCCACCCCTCCAAGGTCAGCCCCGCGGCTACAATTTCCACTCCAGCGATGCCGCTGAGAGTTGGTACTGGCGATGGGGTCACAGCCTCAATTACCCCCCTCCCACCCCGTGAACCGTCCCCCTCCCTGTGCCTCTAAGGCAGATGGAGTGGCGTTAGCGAACCAGGCGCCTCGGAGATAGTAACACTAACTTGGCGGAATTTCGCCCCCCACCCCGACTCGATCCCCAATTGAATTCTTTATTTCAAGCAACCCTCAAATAAAGACTGTAATGGTAGTGACTTCATGGTTTTTGCCTTCGGGGCGCTCCAAATTAGCGTCAGACTCCCATTCTGGTCCCTCTTGTCTTCCCATTAATGCTATCGTTAGGGTTCGTCAAATCGCTTTCATCTACTGAAATTTATTGATGCGCCGTATCCTTTTCCCAAATGTGCACGAGTTTACCGAACCGATCTGCTGCTGGAAGCATACAAATGCTGATTTTTTCCTGTACTTTGCCTCCACTTCACTAACCTAGCCGTGCCTCGATCAGGGCATCAGGTTACTTAGTGAAAGGACGTTTGTGCTTAAGTAGGTTATAGCGATATTTACTGTTTTCGTCGTGATTAAACTTCCTGAATGTAGCAGTTTGGCTGACTTAACCCGTCGGGAAGCGCGTTGACTTGTGTTAACTCTTGTAAATGCCGTTGTTAGTTTATTATGTTAAATGCACATGGTGCGTTGGTCATTCCTCCTTGCTTTTAAAACACAACAGCAAATTCTCGAATGGCACTTCATTGCGGACGAATCCGGATGTCAAAAACCCGTGTTCTAACGATCGTGTACTTGCGTTGTCGGTGCGTGTTTGTCAACACTGATGGCTGGTAGCTGCCAGTCGTTTTGCGTGAAAAGCGGCAGTCCGTGGGGCTGCACTGAGTGCGGATTGGTGGCTGTGGTTTGACGTAGTCATTTATCTTTCTGCTGGCAACTGGCCAACTGAGCTTGGGCGATCCGAACCACGTGGCGCTGGAGGTATTGACGCTGCAGGTACACACTGGCCCCCCGACACCCCCATAATTGTCACCCCAAGTGTAGTTCGCACTGAAGCTTATTTAAACCCGCGACTCCACGTGATGGCTACATTGCGACGCTAATAGTCGTTGTGCCCGGTCTGTTTTTAAATGCCCTACAGTCACGCAAGCAAGTTTTGCGCATTATTTGACCTAGATGTCGGATGGGCAGGGGGTTGCGTTCGTCTCTAACGTAGCCCTTCTGGCATTTCCACTTTCACATTAAACCCAGATTCCCATTCGAGCCAAACCTGCTTACGGTGAGCTTATTGTAACCCTATGCTTACCGTTTTTTGCACAACTGGACCCAACCGAGTTTCGATTATTCAATAGTAAGGGGTCTCTGCCTCTCGTCGCGATTACTTTATTGTCTATTTCGCACCTAAACGTCACTAACTATTTCCACCTTGCTGCTCTTTAAGTCTGTTGCAAGTAAGCTTCAATGCATGCGGCTCAACTTCCTCTTCTGTTATCTATTATCCTAGTATTCTTGGCAATTTTTGTCCCCTTAAACGATCCCGTGGAAATTTCCTTGATGTTACTACGATTGACGGTTTCTTTCAATCCTGGAAATGGTCATTAGAAAATCCCTCTTTTCCTCATCTTCCTCTTGTGTCTTGACACTGTTGTAATTCTCCCTCTCCCTCAAGTGACCCCATGGCTGCAATCAACGTCCACCTCAGTCCACGTTAGCTCCCCTCCCTCCTATTCCCCAATTTGGTCTCAGCGTGGCAACAAGCAGTATTGCGACACCAGAGTGTGCCTCGTGGGTTCCCCGCAGGCCATCATCTGATCCGGGATTTCCGCCTTTTAGAATTCACATCGGTTACTGAGGGTGTGTACTTTCTTTGTCGAACAGAGGCCCTTGTCTAATGCACATCCAACGGTTTTAACACACGTGTTAGTCGTACCGTTGTTTGCCAAACTACATCTAGTCAAACTATTATCAGCCTAATGAAAGATCCCTGTTTCAACCTCGCTTCTTCCGCGCCACGTCTTGTCTCATAAAACCCCACCATTCACTCAACAGTTGCACATTTAGAATCTCGTCTTAAAATCCCTCACTATTATCGCACTAATTCCTGCTGCTTGCTCACACGGCTTTCTGGTTGTCCGATCTAGCTCTTCCGGACAAATCCCAGCGCCTTCCCTTCACCACCCCTCCGACGGAATGCTTAAAAGTCCGCAATATGTTCACCAGAGAGTAAGTCAGGTTAATTAGCCACAAGTTAAACATCGTTGTTGCATTACCTCTAATGGTGCTCCACCCGACGTTGTCGTATTTCTGAGTTAGGAGTGTTGCAGAGCTCCTTCTAAGTCGTTCTACGTTATTTCCTTTACTCCATCAGCACATTTGACGCTAATATGGAACGCCGTTTGAAGAGGGAGTTACTGAATCACATCGCTGAATGCGGAGCAATCCTGCACATTGGACTCGATTATCAAAACAATCAGGTCAGCAAACTTTATCCACTTCTTGTATGATTTCTTGCTTAAAAAATCGCTTTCGTAGCGGAATTTTGTCTCCGCTCAGTGGCTCGGAACAAATAAATCCGTTACTCGCCTCAATCTTTTTTGTAGGGTCTGGTTTACATAAAGTGTGCATCGCCTGCAGTGGCGGGAAGAGTTTACGAGGCTATTCACGCGAATTACTTCGACAGTGAGTTGCATTAATTGGCGGTTGTTGTACTTTTTTAACCTACCGGTTGGTAGCATTTGCGCTTATTTGACACGAAGCCCTCGCTCATCACCCCGGAAATCGTGTTACCTCCTAGGGACAGCGAGATTCGTTTTAGCCAGAACTAGCAGCGCTTGCTGACTCATTTACGATGACTAACCGTTGTTGCGAGCCAGGGCACTTGTAATGAATCCAGATATGGACACAGCAAGTGTTGACCTTCTGTCACAATTGAAAGTGGTCAAAGCGTCAAGTTAGTCTCAAGACTCGTTCATTGACTAACTTGCCAGCAAATTCGTAGTGATTAATTCTTCGAAAACGTTGGCACATTAGCGAGCGCCCTAAAAATGCCACCTACCACTATCCACTGCCCCTGTGTGCGGTTAATCGCAGCTATTTCCAATTAAACACGCTTTTTAATACACCGAATGAAAAAAAAACACTTAACGTTTGTCTTCGCTTTTTAGGCCACCTGCTGACCGTCAAATTTTTGCGAGCTGTTAAGTACTACCTACGTTTTCCGGAAGCCTGCAATGCTGTCACACCGCTCAATGCTGCAGACTTTGAATAGACTGTCTGACCGTGTAGTCTTGGCCCACATATCCACAGATGCATGAAATTTTATTGTATATATAGTAGCTTGTCCCTATCGATTTTGCACCTCTTTGATATGAAGTTATAATAAACACGTTTGTTTCGAGTTACGGTATATCCAACATGGATGTTACTTGTTAAGAACAAGTTGCTATCTCCTTTTGTGGTCGTTGCCTTGTATGAATGTGAATATGGCCTATTTTGTGCTTTTATGTTCGCTCGATTTATGCACAGGAACAGCAACATCTTCAAAATACAGGTTTTCCGTGCTCTGAAGTCTGTGGCCTTCTGCTGTGTGCTTATTTAAAGTGCTGAGGGTACTTCCGGCGCAGGATTTGCATATTTTCTTCCACCGCATCTCTCCAAACGTCGTCCGCTGCCTCTAGTTTAAGCTAAAATGAAGAATATGTTCAGCCGGCCGATTCGACTTGTGTAATCACGAACTAGCAAATCAACACAAATCACTAAGAGACGTACTGGGGGGATGGGGTATGTTGATTTTGTTGGTTGTCGTCGCGGCTCTAGGTCAATTAGGGAGCTCATTTTCGCAACGTCATCAATCCATACGCCCTCCATGATTTGGTTGGTTCTGTGAAAAATAAACTTTCCTTTTCCGTTCTTCATGTCATCGACCCAGCCTCCTTCGTACCTATTTTCGTTCGCTAAGATCGTGTTACATTGAGGGGGGCAACATTACGGAGGCGTAGTATTCCGTTGCCACATCGCTTATCGTTTAGCCATTCGCCCTCGTACATGGAGCCGTCCTTGTAGTAGTGCCGTCCCCAGCCACTCCTTTTCCCCGCGAACCACTCGCCTTCATAAAACTCAAAGCAACTGTACCAGTTTTCTCCATAACCCTAGTTGTAAGGCCAATTTATCGACCTACATGACGTTTATCATCCTTCCACATCCCCGAATATATTTTAGTGTGGCTGCCATTTTTCTCGACAACAGCTAAAACGCCTTGGCCACATCGTTTACCATTTTGCCAAAAACCCTCGTAAATGAGTTTCTTCGACTTCCATTTTTGTATTCCCCGTCCTAACAAAATTAAATGGAAATAGAACTAACCGTGTTTCTTATTATCTTTCCACTCTCCTATGTAGGTATCACCATTAACCGAGTAAATGGCTTTTCGTGCACCGTTTAAGCGGGATTTTGCTAAAATCTCTTGCGATATAGGGGTGATAACAGGACAACGGCTTTTTTGCATACTAGAATATCCGAAGAGGGTATACTAAAGGGCTTGTGGAAACTGGTAGAATGAACAACTGGATATATCTGGTGGCTAAATATAACAAGTTCAAATGTGTGTGATGTTAGTTGTAGCGTACATTGAAGAATAAAAACAAATGACGTATATAATATATTTATTTAAATCCTAAGAACTCGAAATTTACAATGTAGCGAACATACAGCCATCCTGTCTGAGATTTCCAATTTACACTGACGGCAAGAGATAATTATGCAGATTTTGATCTCGAACGACGCATTTGCAGTCATGATTATTTATTACATAAAATTCATATCATTTTTAATTTTTTTAGATCTTTTTATTTGTCAAGAAGTCCGTAGAATAAACCTACCTACGTCGTGTATGTTGTGTCTGTAATTTCTGCTTCAACGTGTTCGAAGGTACCTGAAGTTACGAAAAACTGAACATAGACATTTTCCAACCTCCGACGAAATTTGGCATGTCTAGAAATAGGCTTTCACACTTTTAAACATTTGAAATCATTCGAAAGCATATATAATGTATAACACATATGCATATATTTAACAAATTTTGCTAATAATTTTAAGCCTCATTTTGCCAATTATACTTGTATTCGAATAAAGGTTTGAAATAAATATAGCAACACTGAGTACATATTTGGTTATACACTACTAACGCACACTTCAGCATTTGTGGATGATTTAGCGTGAATTCCTAATTCCTTTTTAGAGGAACTTAGCACTAGCCAAAACATACTGCAGTGGTTTGTTCGCAGCTCTCCTTGCTAGCAGCCAAAAAATTATCCAAGCAGGTGACTGTGGATGCGGCAGTTTATTAGCATCACACAACCCAGATCTCTTTTTATTAGTGTGCATGAGAATGAGTATCTGCTGTCAACTGTAATCGAAAGCTATACGCACAATCATCTGCAAGCAGTTATTTAAAAGGTAATCTAGGCAGAAGTTAATGACATACAACAGGCTAAAGGGGACTGAAAAGAACCGTCAATGCCACCACAGTTATATAGCGTTGTTTCATCCATCTGTGCCTCTGGTTAAGTGCGTTGTTTCATCCATGAATGCCTCTGGCTTAATGCTGATCGTCTTGTATAAGACTAAGGCTGATGTCCTGACGTAGTCAGATATGACCTACAAATAAACTACATTAGGGGTTGTAGGTGGCTTAATTTTACTCCGTTTTATTTTTCAACATTTTTCGAGGCAGGCGAATGGTCAAATCGACAAAACAGTCTATACACAATAACAAGTAATGTGACCGCATGTGGCCAATTGGCTAATCACTTTCACGAGCTCTTAGCCTGTAGCAATTTAGAATCCAAATATTTGGAAGATCAAGTAAAATATTTCAAAAAAATGAAGCCAGTCTACATGGTTTCATAAAAGATCAGTTAGGCACTTTAATTTCCGTGGAAAAATATTGCCGTTAAATTTAGTAAAATTGATGCCGCATTGCTGAAATCGTGTTATCGAGACTAAAATACCTATAAATGTTTTGTAGCATAACAGATGCCAATTCGAGAGTTTCTTTTTAAATCAAAACGTGCGGCAACCGTGAAACATAATTACATTGCCCGAGCCACTTTCTTTCTGGTCCATATCTATATGTTGCAACAGATATAATCGTTATGTTTTTAGAATAGCTGCTAGTTAAACTAGACATATGCCTGTAGATAAAGTTTCAAATGGTTCTATATTTTGAATATATCTTTATTTCATACATGGATTCAGTAGCAAAGTACGATGTACTATTTTTGCGCAAGAATTGTTTTCCAAATGTTCAAAAAAGAGCCCAAACCATGTTCATTTGTAATTGATGACTTGCTAAGAATTAAACTTTTTCAAAAAAATCATTTAATTGTTATGCGAAACGAGGTAATTTTCGACGAAAACTTTCGCGATTACAGAAAGTACGCGGAGTCCTCAAAAAGAAACGGGGCATGTAATGAAAGTATATAGAACTCAGGCTTGAGCAAATGCTAAGTATCTACGCTATTGCTGGTTTTTTTCCGAATTGCATTAAAGCGCTTACCGTCACCAGATGGAACATTTGAGTTATTTTGGAAGTAATCATTTCATTCGGATTCATGAACCCCTAATCGTGTTAAAAGTTAACTTATTAAAATTGATTCCTAATATATTAAGCAAATATCTATTTTAATGAGCACAGGATTTCGTGGATTTTTTCAAGCGTTTGTGAACCGAATTGTTCGAAATGGTGCTTGATTCATAAGCACATTTGTAGGAATCTGGCTACTTAAAACAATAACAGACAATAGTTATTTCATAAAAGTCTTATACTTTCCGCCGTATTTTAACGAACTGATACTTTTAAGGAAACTTGTAAAATATTGAAACTGATGTAAAAATCATAAATAAGCACATGGAATAAGTAAATTGTGTTCAATTATATATTCAAATTGTCAATTTATCGTTATGAACTAATTTGCTTTATGTAGTCGAAAAAAAGGTTTCTTTTTAACACTGTAATTGTGTTCTTTTCAGCCTTACTCAAGTATTCTATTGTGGTTTAAATGGGTTTCGCTGGAGCTTTTTGCAATCGACGTTTGTGCATTTTTAAATCGCAAGACCTTGGTTAAAGATGGATACATTAGGAATCAACAATTTTAATATTTTTTTACAATTTTAATTCAAAAACGCCGCTAATTCAAAATTTTATAACTGGTTTCTCGAATTGTTCGTTATACCACTCACAGAAAAAGTCGGCGATTATTTGTAGCCATCTTGAACCTCCTTGTTGGCTGAAAGTAAATGATGTACGAAGTTACGTGAGCTATATCAAGTTAGTTTAAACAATTTTAGCTAAAATTAGTCATCCACATGACCAGGCAAATCTTAATCATTTTAAAGTTTGTGGAAAATTCGCGTGACTGATGAAGAAGGGAAAATTTCTAGTCCGAAGCGTATGACAATAAATAGTTGAGGTTGCTGGCAACCAATCATGTTATAACGGAATTTCTAAGTAAAACGCTATGATATCAATGATATTGACAATCAACAGGGTTAATTATTATAATTAAACCTGATTAAATAGCCTACATTAATGTGCTAGCTATTGGTTGAACTCGGTTAATTACGTCAATAAACAAGGCACAGTTAGCATTTGAAACAGCGTCATTCATCGTTCGGCATTTAAACCTGCGTCAAATACTCATTAGCAGCAGTTTATGCAAATACTGCGCTGTTTTTTTTGAGAGAATGTCATAAACTTGTTCTATAAAACCAAACCCTCTGGCGTTCAGATTGTTTTCTAGAATGCAAATTTAAAGTCACGAGTTTGTGGAAACATTATAAGTGCCGGTGGGAGATTTCTCGATCTAACTATCTCCGTTTGTGCAGTTTGTGAAGCAACATGGGGTCTAGCATTGTCATGGTGGAAGATGATGCCTTTTCACATGACCGAATTTTAATGTCTTGCTTTGATTTCCACAGTGAGCTTGGCCAGTTGCCGACAGTACAGCTTCGCAGCCATTGGTTGGTCACGAGGAAGAAGATGGTGGAACACAATCCACTGCGCTTCCACCACCAAACACACAACAGCACGTTCCTTGGATGCACTTCAGTCTCTGTGGTTGATTCTGCTCTCTCAGGTACATACTTTCAGCTCCTTACTCTCTACATGTAATTGAACACAAACAATTGCGCATTCTCAGGCACAATTTGGTTCAAATAAGTTCGTTTGTTTGATGGGTGGTGCAAAACAGATTCGGTTCCATCGCAACACATGATTAGGCCTAATCTATTCTGCCATGAATGACGAAACGAAGTCGAACTGTCGCCGTTCAGCCTTCCAGAAATCTCTCCAGTGATGATTCGTGGACTAATTTTCATTAAATCACGGAAGACGTCACGATCGATGCTGGAAGATGTACCTTGAAGTCACCATTTCAAAGTCAACCAAACCTCACTTCTACTGCCTCAAGAGCAGGATTACGAGCCAAACGATATCCACTTTCCTCGCAAACGCATAAATTATAAAATGACGCAGATGGGTCTTCTCATTTTCCAACGTCACTGCTACACGTTTACACAAGTAATACAGCCTATATTTCAAACACTGGGCTGAATCATGACGCAATTGGATCAACCATCAGAAAATAATAGTACACAGAAAACATCAATACAGGTAAATTCTGGCATGAACCTCTACGATCATCCATTCCACATTTCTAAACAATCATTTTGAGTTGGTGAATTGAAAAAACTAGTCTCTTAAAGTTATTGCAAAGCTCTAACACATCACTTAAGGAGTTGATTCTCTCACATGCCCTCTGTAGCGCATTTTGTGTGGCAGTCTTCATGACCTCTCCTTGGGTCTATGAAGCAGCGAGACACAGACCAGATTTCTCCATCAGGTCGTCCAATCCGTTTTCCCGTCTGTTCGTCTTTGATGTGTACTCACGTTGTGGGTGGCCAGCAATCAATAGATAATGTTAAATTGGTCCCACAAAACTCACTTTTCTAGTACAAAGGCGCACCGGCTTTCCGTCTGAGCACCAACTCTCCGAAATGCTTTTGCAGGTCTGTTGACTAGTCCAGATAACCGTGATTACGAAGGAATTTCGGCAATTGCCATGTCACACAATCATCAGTTAACTGTTGCGTGTACTCATGCTTCCAGATTGGGAAGTGTTCGAATCGACTAGGTTCCGGGCTTAATGATTAAGATTTATTAAACTAAAACAAATTTGCTACATTTGCCACATGACAAATGTGTAACGAGAGCAAAAAGCAAACTGGGAGTACGAAATGAAGTGTGGCTTAATTGCAACCTAGTAAAAGTCGCAAAATTTCGTTGCTATTGGACGATGTCGCATTAATACTGCGAATCGTGGCTTGCGTTTGGAAGGTTGATTGCAAGATCATGTAGCAAGGATTCCCTCTTTACTTGCAATTTCTAATAATAAATATAATTTAGTAACGTCGATGCTACACTTGCGATAGAAGCCTGCAAAATGC